TGAGTCACGGGCTGGCCGCTTGGCAGCGGCGTACAGCGGCTCCTTTCTGTACTCAGGAATAATGAGCTACCCTCCCGTCTCGGACGGAGAAGAAAGAACAGCAGCAGGGAAATAGCTCTGAGCCATATTTCTTTTGTCTTAGACACACTGCCTTCACTATATCATTCTGCATTATGCCAAGGCAAGCTGTCGCACTCTTTTACATGCGCTGGCATTCCATCTAGATATCTTAAAGTGCCTAGGAACATTGGCACACGGTCGACTTAACATTTGTGTTGTTTCATGCTTAATTTATTTTTACATTACTAATTTCCAACCTCTCTGATCCCTTGGAATTAAAAAAGCTGTTTTTGTTGCTGTGTTTTTAAAATCAAAGGGAATAGAGTATGAAATATTAAAAATGTTATTCATTTTAAAAATTTGTGTCCAGCAAAGTTTGAATGAAAAACAAGAGAGCTATTTTGTCTGAGAGCTGTCTGGGCATGATCTACTATTCTGAGTAGCACACATGATTGACACTCTGCAAAAAATCGTATCTTGTCAAGTGATCTTCTTGCCGATATATCCAATATTACTCTTTTTGAAATGGTTGTGCACTTATTATAAGACTATCTTATTTCTAGACATTATTTACCTATTTTAGGTAATTTTATTAAGTAAAATGATCTTACTATACTGGCAGATCATTTTGCAGGTTTCAAGCACATTTCTTAAAACAAGTAAAATGATCTGCCTGTATAGTGAGATAATATCACTTAATAAAAACACTTAAAACAAATAAAAAATGGCTAAAAATAAGGAAAATAATCTTAGGTTAAGCGTACAAGAATCTCAGCAGGAGAAAAATTAGATTTATTGAATATATTTAAGATAATTTTACTTGACAAGGTACCATTTTTTTGCAGTGCGGCTCTTAGTCCAGCACTCCCAGCCTGCTACACCACTGAAACAGAACTGAACACAACAGGGCGAGCAGAAGGAAATGAGTGAAACAGGCTCTACATATACAGGGTGATTTAGAACCCTGCAGTGTCTGCTCACTAAAAACATTACACAGCTTTTATGAGGTGATGTCTTGAAGAAAGTAGGTTCTCATTTACTTTACTGCCGGATCTGCATCCCGGGCATGCTGGCGTGGACAGACGTTAGGCAGATAGCTAGATAGATTCACTTAGACGTTCTCTGATGATAGAAAGTAGCCAAACACAGTTTTCTTTGTATTTGGTGAGAGGACCGCTTATGTAAGCACTACCCAAGACTAGTACTGCCCAGTTTACATCGAAAAAGGAGAATTTGGGCAAAATCTTTAGCTATTTAGTGGAAGGTTATTGACAGGACATAGTTTGTTCATACATATTGTGTGCCTAAAATGAAATTAGGTTCCCTGGAGCTAATATATGTAAATTAGTGCTGTTCTGACTGCAGTGTGCTTTACTCAAAAAGCAGTCCAGACTAAAACACTCCTTATAACTTCAGTATGAAAGAGTGGAGCTAAACTGCTGTAGGATGAATGTGAATATATGTAAAAACAGTGGTTTTCGCTTACTTTCTATATTGGACAAATATAGTTACTTTCTATATTGGACAAATTGGACCCTTCACTCCTCAAATGTATTCTATATTTGAGGAGTGAAGGGTATGTTTTGAAATCTTAATGTTTACATACTACATTAAGAATTCAAAAGTATATTGGATTTCTAAATGTTTCACTTAGTACACTGAAATAAGTGATGTATTAAATTTACTCGATTCATAGGTATCATTTCCATAGTAAAGTAAAACATATGACACCAACACAATGCCATTTTTTAGGTTACTTACTTTTGGCAATAAATATTGTGATGTCATATTTTATTCATGTAGAAATAATGAACATATTTGAATCAAGTAAATCGCATCACTTTGAGAGACAGCATCACATTGGAATTTTAAATAAATGTCTCTCCTCCTCTGTTGCCACTCTAGAGTACAACCAAGGATAAAGCAGCGACTGTTCATTGGCCCCATCATTCATTAAACAATGTATTTTTTTTTTTTCTGGATGAAAGACAGTACTCCTTCATTCATTCATCGCAGCCTCCTATTTTCATTGTTTTATGGCTCTTTCATTGCTATCTGCACTGACAACATGAAACAAAGAGCTATTTAGATATTGCCATAAAGTCCAGCACCAGTGTGCACAAGTAATTCACATATACAGGCACTTTTCCCTTGAAAGTTCAACTTCAGAGTCTTTGAAGCTGCTTCAAAAGAAATAGCCTTAACCAATTGAAGGCTCTGTTCCCAGCAGCATAGGCCTACCGGCAGCATATCGAGGCAAAGGCCATTACCATGCGTTTCAGAGCAGTAGTAAATTCCTTTGAGTCGAATAATGTTGGCCTTTGTTCGGTGCATGACAACTCAGAACTCTTGAAAGTAATAAAGTTGAGCAACTAGGACAGAATTTTTTGTTTTAACTTGTTTTAACTTTGTTTACATTTTGTTTTAACTGAATTTTTGTCGAAACGTTCCAGTGTCCTTTCCACTGAGTAGAGTTTAACTCTACTCAAGTACGTTTGTGAGGAAAGCAATCAGCTTTTTTACTCAATTACACTTAAGCTGTTGTTATTTAGTTTTATTTTGTTATTCTGTTTTATTATGTCAAATTATTATTATTCTGTTATGATGGTGAAAGCATCTTTACTTCTTTGTACCTAGGACCTGATCACATACAAATTAAGAGCTTTACATAAATTATATCATTTGAAATAAATACACTTACAGCGCCCTCCACAATGATTGGCACCCCTGAGCAACATGAGCAAAACAGGTTGTAAAGATATTCTTTGTTCCTTATTCTTTTTGATTTTTTATTTAAAATATTAACAAAAATATATGCATTATTTGAAGTATGATGATTGAAAGAAAGAAACTAAATTTTATCATGAAACCAATATTTTTCTCAGTTCTATGTGTGCCACAGTTGTTGCAGCCTCCCTTTGCAAAGATAAGAGCTCGGAGTCTTCTCCTGTAATGCTTAAAGAGACTGGAGAACACATGGCAAGAGATCTGAGCCCATTCCTCCATATAGAATCTCTCTAGATCCTTCAGATTCCAGGATCACGCTTGTGAACTCTCCTCTTCAGCTCAGCACATATATTTTCTGTGAGGTTTAGTTCAGGGGGCTGGGGTGGTCATGGCAACACCCTGATTCTGTGGTCATTTTGACATTTTTTTTGAGGTGTGCTTTGGATCATTGTCTTGCTGGAAGATCCAACCATGGCCCAGTTTAAGCTTCCAGGTTTTGATTTAATATCTGCTGTACTTGATAGAGTCCATGATACCATGTATTCAACACAAGCACAACAGCCCCACCACCACACTTCACAGTGTTGGGGAGGTCCTTTTTTACATGGCTATCTTTGTGTCTACGCCACACCCACCTCTGGTGTTTGTTGCCAGAAACCTCTATTTTGGTCTTATCTGACCACAGAACACAGTCCCACTGAAAGTTCCAGTAATGTCTGGCAAACTGTAGGCAAGTTTGTTGGTCCTTGACAGCAGAGGCTTTCGTCTGTGTAGGTGGTGTCTGTTTGTAGTTTGGGAGACATTCTGCCCCCAAGACCTAACTAATGTCTGCAGTTCCCCAGCTGTGATCCTTAGATCCTTAGATTGTTTGGCCAATCAAACCTCCTCACTGTGCATCAGGTCAGTATAGATGTACATCTCCGGTTGCTTTAAACTTCTCAATTATTGCCCTGATAGTGGAAATGTGCATTGTCAACTGTAGATAATTTCTTGAAGCCATTTCCTGATTAGTGCAGCTCAGCAACCTATGGCACATCACTGTATTCTCTGGTCTTTCAGTGATGGATGAATGAGGCAATTTGGCCTGTGTGTCATCTCATATTTATTCTTGAGTGAATCAGGAAGTCATTGTTAACGATTTAAGTGTTTCTGATTGCTCAGGTGGACTTTAAAACATGTGATATGAAAATGGAAATGTACGAGTTAGATTTCACTCATAAAACTTTCTAGTTGTACCAACAATTGTGGCACACAAAGATTTGAGAAAAACATTTATTTCATGGCAAGATAAAGTTTTTTTTGTTTTTTTTTAATCTTTAATTAAAAGTTCATTTTTATATTTTGAATGAAAGATCAAAGGGATGAGCAATACAGTAGGTGTGGTATGCCCCATTTTGCTCATGTTCACCAGGAGTGGCAATATTTGTGGAGGTCACTGTCTACACAATACTGTGCAAAAGGCAAAGGCCACCCTTATTTAATTTCCAGTCCAAATAGTATTAAGAATGAGTTATTTATTAAAAGATACAGACAAGATGAGACTCGTGACAACCGTGCAAGACATGGTAGACTCCAAAACTGTCCAGACCTCAACATCATTGAATGTGTTTGGGATTTTTTTTGGATTGTTAGAAGACAAAAATGTAACCAGCTTCTAAGACTGAACTTTCGAGGTGTTGAAAAACTGAAAATGAGTCTCCTGTAAAGAATGGAAGCAGTAATAAAGGCAAAGCGTAGAGATATTAAATACTGAATATTTTATTGTTGTATTTAGTTGCTTTTTCTGTTAAATTTGTTTTCTGCTTTTTCCTGAAACAAACAACTTTATATTTTATCATTTAACTATAATGTGGCAAGGATTTAAGTAATATGTTGTCTCACTGATGACATGACACTGATTTTTGCTCTCACTGACAGCCCCAGTTGCTGCCAGGCTTATTTCTTATTTCTCATATGATTATTTTTGGAAGATGAGTATTAATCATGTATATAACCCTTACTAACATTCACCATTTAATTAAAATATAAAACCATTTCAGCTGCTCAGTCCTTATGGAAGTTGACTTCTTGGTGCTGTAAGCCCCCATTTGAGGGCTATCAGACATCCCCTGGGCTCACTTGAACTAAAGAGCATTTAATGTTTAATTAAACATGCATTTTTAATTAGTTTAGAATTTTGTAAGTAATAGTGCTTTGTGCTTTATTTTTTGCAGGTGGTGGACTGTTCTTGGGATGAGACAATAAAAATCTACACCCCTCCGTGCTTGGCCGCTCTGCAAGAAGTTGCTTCTTAGAGAGAAAGTCCCTGCAGTGGAGGAGGAGGATGCGTTTCAGTGGTGTTGTTTTTTCTCACTCATATTCTGACTAATCCTGCCGGCCAACCGTAGGGCAGGATATGCAAGTTTTCCAAGAATTCACTGCTGTCTTTTTAGTGGCATGTTTAAAAGGTTACCTCTGGAGCATAATGTAAATCAGGCCTATCTCAGCGGTCACTGGGCGGAAGGCAGGAAACACCCTGGACAGGTCACCAGTCCATCGCAGGGCAGCCTGTAAAACATTAACCTAAAAATTACAAATTAGCATTCATATATTTAAATAATAATAATAATAATAATAATAACAATAATCTTGTTTTCAGTAAAGTTAATGCTGTGTGGTGAGCTGGATAGAAGAAAACAAGTTCAGTTCCTCTTCTCCTCGTTGCAGACTTTTGCACAGTACTGCAGATGTCCAGGAGCAAGGTTGCTCATCTTTGCAGTGTCAGAGATGCTCCCCTAAGAGTCATCATGGAGTGCCAAGTTTAAGACTTTTAAACTGTGAAAGCAGTAAAAATGATCCCTGTATTATCCCCATGTCCCTATATTTTATTTTTCTCTGAGGTCTATAACATTTTGGTTTTATTTATCAAATGTGGTCAGAATTCTTTTTTTTAGGACCATTTTCCATCCTCTCTTCATCCTTTAGAATCAAACCGGTTGTTTTTGCTACTGTGCCTTTAAGACTGGCTCTGTTCTGATTGCCTGTCCTGTATTGCATTTCATGATGAAATATCCCTTATAACTTCATTGTGAATGGGTGGGGCTAAACTGCTGTAGGCTGGATATGTGGATATATAGAAATGATTTTTTGTGTGACAGCACTAAAACAGTGATTTCAAAACAGGCAGTTTAGTCTCCATCTAAGGACTGTATGGACTGCAGAGTGAAAAGTATGTTTTGAAACTGTAACAATGTCCATATACTACATTAAACTTTTATTTAAAAAAAAAGGAAGAAAATTTGAGTTTCCCTGATGTTGGTCCTTTATGAAAACTGCTGTTTGTGTTCATTTTCTGTGTGTGGAATGAAAACTGAGTGCCTTCCTGATAAATGCTACATGGACAGTCCTGTTGGGGGCCAGGGGTTATTTCACAAAGCAAGATTTCTCACTTAACCAAATAAAGTCAAGCCTGTCCAATAGAAGAGGTAAAGGACATTGCTATTGGACAGTCCTCATTTGAGAGACATGATTTGCATTAGATAGTCAGTTTTGAAGTTTGAACAGACAAAAAGGTCCAGTGATGCTACATTTAAAGAACACTATCAAAAACTATGAATATGGAGACTTTTATTTAACATTTTATGTACTGTACTGCACTAAATCCAATAAACAGGCCTAATTGTGCTTTTATGCAGCGAGTATCCAGACATGGTATGTTCAGAAGAGCAATATATTGTGACATCATTGTACCAACAACAAATATTGTCATACTGCCCAACCTTAATTGAACCTCAACTTTGTATGAATATGCAGAATTAGGAAGCCATGGTATAAATGAGCCAGTCTAAAATATCTTAATTAATTTACCTCCTCCGCTGCTTGTGTTAAAACCATGTTCTTGTTCTTTATGAGTACTTTTTATTCCATTTCCATGTCACGCTGTGCAGATCCTGATGCTTATCCAATAAAATGTAATGAAGATATGCTCCGTCCTCCACACAGATTTGAAAATGTGGCCTACGTGAAATGTGATTAACACACAGCAATAAGTAAAGGAGCCTAGATATGTGTAAATGCACCTTGTTCTCTTAGTAAACATTTAGTGTAACCCCTTATTTGAATTATAAAGCATGAAGAACATAAAATGTCTAGGACTGTTTTTTTTATGCTGTCTATATGTACCACTTCAAGAGGCCTTATACAAATTGTTTTCCTGAGGTCCACATATAATATTTGTGTGGTTTTATGTACCAAAAACAGTCATAATTTATTTTTACATGACAATTTTCCAACCCCTGTTCTTGTTACTGTGCCTTTTAGTCTGATACATGTTGCCCTCCCTTCTGATTAGCTGCCCTATGTATTCAAAAACCAGCCAGGCTGGTTTAATGGTGTAATGCATTGCTTTTCAAGACTTCACAGTTTCCATATATGGACTGCATGACTGTATTTTATACTTCAACAATGTTTATGTACAATCCTTTTGTTTAAAAAAATGTGAGGGAAATTCAGTTTTCCATGATACGGGCCCTTTTAGTGTGCCCATTGCTGACCCATGTACAGTTTGTATTTCTATTGAAAAGCATTGCCAATAGAATAGATTCTTTGGAGCAGCTTCCCATTCTACTGGCAGTGAGCCTAAGGTCTCAATGTCCAAAGCTAGGCATCAGCTGGAGGGGTATAAAGCCCCCCTGCATTGGGCTGTAGAGCAGTGGAATGGTGTTCTCTGGAGTGATGAAGCTCCTTGCAATACCTTTGGGATGAGCTGGAGTGATCCAGGACTAATCATCCAAGATCAGCACCTGACCTCACTAATGCTCTTGTGGCTGAATGCAATCAAATCCTCACAGCAATGTTCCAACATCTAGTGTAATGCCTTCCCAGAGGAGTAGTGGCTGTTACTGCAGCAAAATGAACAAACTCCCTATTAAAGAGCCAATATCCTTAATAATATTTTTATAACTGTTTTTAAGATGTTCATTAATAAGTTGTTTTTGTTACTGAGCCTTTAAGACAAATGTATGCAAATGAACCGTTCTGATTGGCTGACAGGCTCCTTACAGCTTAAGATCAACTTCTGTAGGCTTAGTAGGCGGATATGTGCAAATTAGTTTGTGTGACATCACAAAAACAGTGAATTCAAAACAGACACTTTTTGCAGCTTATTCTCCATGGACTGGGGAGTCAACACTACGGTTTGGTACTTTCACAAAGTTTATATACTACATAGAAAAGTGAGAAAAAATAATGATATGGGCCCTTTAATATCCCTGATTCCAGAAAAAATGATGGACTCGCAGGTGTCCGCAAACTATTGGACTTTTTTTGGACTTAAGTCACCTTATTTTAGATTTTTCAGTCCTTCCTGTTAGGCTGGACTGGGTAAGCGCTGTCTTAACTACATGGGACTCAGTGAAGTTTGATAAATGACGTAACACCGGAGCGTCGACGACAGAAAAGATCAACGGTTATTCAGTCTTGCAGTAGAAGCACAAGGTCTGTTGTTTGTTTTTTGGGGGTAGCGGGGAGGTTAAAGAAAGCTGGTCCACTTTAGGGTCGGCTAAGTGGGTGAGGAAGGAGGGGAGCGAATAAAAAGTGAAAGAAAAGTAACCCAAGTCTCTGAGAGTAAGCGGATTGGCTGCAGTGGAGCCCCATGCAATCCGCTCACGGGGCTTTGGTAGTTATGGATCCGATGGATCTGCGAGTCTCCGCCGTCATGGGGCGTTACGCAGGAAGGGTGGGAGGCAGGAAAAGAGGGGAAGAAGAAAGGAGGGGAGGGGGCCATCCCGCACTGGACTCTCACTGTGGGCTGGACGGTGTGTGGGACGCACGGGACCGCAGGAAATCCCCCCCGCCAAACTCATTCCCCTCCCACCCCCCACACACTCTCCATTCAGCGAAATCATTCATGCTGCTGATGGCTGGAAGGTCTGGATGCAGCAGGGCGCGCGGGGTGCTGTGCGCGGTTTGATGCGGCTGGAGTTCGCGCGTGACGGTTTGCCTCCCCAAGCAATAAGCTCGGACATTCTTCTGTGGGAAGTTCTTCGAAGGTTTTTCTAATATTTTGGTGTCTAAATCCAGCCTGGATGGAGCGCGTCATGGAAGTTTGCAAGGGCCGCCTGCTGGGCATCTCGGTGGCCGTTGCGCACGGAGTGTTCTCGGGCTCCCTCAACATCCTGCTCAAATTCCTCATCACCACCTACCACTTCACCTACCTCACGCTCATCCAGTGCATGACCAGCGCCACGGCGGCGCTCACGCTCGAGACTCTGCGCAGGCTGGGCAAGGTGGACATCCCGCCCTTCAGCCTGCACCTGGCCAAAGTTTTCGCCAGCGTGTGCGTGCTGTCCACGCTGCAGTCCACGCTGACTCTGTGGTCGCTGAGGGGTCTCAGCTTACCCATGTACGTGGTCTTCAAGCGCTGCCTGCCTCTGGTCACGCTGGGCATCGGCGTGTGCGTGCTGAGGAACGGGACGCCCAGTGTTGGGGTGGTCGTGGCGGTGCTCATCACAACCGGAGGGGCAGCTTTGGCAGGTAAAACGACGCGTCTGCTGTGCGCTTTAAAAAAGAGTGATGCATTGAATGTATACATCACTTGTATGAAGTGAAATGGTACACACTTAAAAAGACGGTTCTTCAAGGGTTCTTTAGTAAAAGCAGTGGTTCTATTTCATGCTTAAATGGTTCTTCGCATGGTGAAACGTTTCTTCAGATTAATGGAGAATGTTATATACACACATAAAAAGATGGGTCTTTTTAAAGAAAATGGTTCTGTATAGAGCCATGAACACTCTTTGTGTGATTAAAGGGTTCTTTGCATATGAAAGGGTTCTTCAGATTGATGGAGAATGTGGTTTATATGGTACTATGTAGAACCTTTTTGAAAAGGCTTCTATATAGCACAAAAAAGGGGTACTTCTATGGTTACAGGCTTGACATTGTAACAATAGAAGAACCCTTTTCAAAAGGTTCTATATAGAACCGAATAAAACACTTTCTTCATCAATCTGAAGAACCATTCAGTGATGCAAAAACACCTTAACCATGCAAAGGGTTCTTTGAGTGTTCATGGTTCTATATAGAACCATTTTCTTTACTAAAGAACCGTTAAAGAGCCATAAATTTGAAGAGTGTATGCTTCTACACAGGACCTTTTTGAAAATGGTTCTATATAGCACCAAAATGGATTCTTCTATGGTTACAGGCTTGACATTGTAACAATAAAAGAACTCTTTTCAAAAGGTTCTATGTAGAGCACACTCTCCATTAATCTGAAGAACCGTTTTGTTATGTAAAGAGCGCTTCAACCATGCAAAGGGTTCTTTGAGTGTTCATGGTTCTATATAGAACCATTTTCTTTACTAAAGAACCCTTGACAAACCATCAATTTTAAAACTGTATGCTTCTATATAGAACTTTTTTGAAAAGGGTTCTAGATAGCACCAAAAAGTTTTTTTCTATTGTTGCAAGCTTGACATTATAACAATAGATATGTTAATCTTCATTTAAGCATGAAAGTGTTCTATATAGAACTCATGGTTCTAAATAGAACCATTGCCTTTGCTAAAGAACCCTTGAAGATCCATCTTTTTTAATCTTGTACATCAAAAGAACAGCAAAAACTACACCTGATCTGTATACAACTGACATATTTGACCAAAACTCGAGTTATTATTTGAGATGTTTGCCATTGTCCCATAAAACTCCAACCACTCAGCAGTCACTAAAAACAGTAATATATTCAGTTTACTTAATTAAAACACATTAATTTACGTTTTCACTACTGATAGACAAAATAGTGTTGATGTAATGCTTTTTATTTATGTGGAATGATGTACAGATTTGAATCGCGTCAATTCAGTGCAGTCTTCAGTGTAATAGATATGCTCTTCCACACAGATTTGAAAATGAATGTGTTTAACACATATAATATGTAAAGTAGTATATGTGTGTAATATGCCTTGTTCTCTTGACACTAACATAACCCTATATCTCCCGTCACCTTATTTCCTATGTCAACATCCATGTCTACTGTTTTATCTTCATTTCCCTCACTTTCTTTTTGATTCAGTTGTTGGTGTCTTGACGTGATCATACAGGCCTACCCCTTTAGCTGCTTCACTGCATTCACTGTGCACCTGAATGGTGCAAGTTCTGTTACATTAAAGCAGCTGGAACTGTTTCACTGGAGCTGATTCTGGTCCTCCTGTACTCCTTTCAAGAATTTTCATGAATTGTGACTAATCATGAATGTACTACACATGTATGTGGATATAAACGGCATATATGAGGCTAAATCATTGCTGTTAAAGTCCATTAGTGAAGATCTGTCCTTCTGCAGAGTTTAGTCCCAACATGTTATTGTAAGCCTGTGATGAATTTGATCAGTTGTGTTGAATTAGGGCTGGAATTAAATTCTGCAGGGCGGCAGATTTCCAGGAGAGGCACAGTTGGGTACATATATATGTATATATGTACCCAATTATATATGTTATCTCATTATTTAATGCATTAGGGTATATTACATTATTTTATGTAAACTCAAGAATGTTACATTTATTTATATTCAATAAATTATGTAATAAACGATTTGTTCTAAACATTGTTGTAAACATTTTTTGCTTTTCATTCCATTATTATGCATCTACAGGTGCAGGTGACCTCACAGGCGACCCCTTTGGCTATGTGACTGGCATTTTAGCGGTCATTATACATGCCTCCTACCTTGTGATCATCCAAAAGACTGGTGCGGATAGCGAATATGGCCCACTAACTGCCCAGTACACCATCGCCATAGTGGCCTCCCCCGTGCTGCTTGTTTGTTCCTTCGTGAGCATGGACGCAATCGACATGTGGACGTACGAGGGCTGGAAGAACCCTTTCATCACAGGCATCTTCTGCTCCTGCATCTTCATCGGCTGTGCCATGAACTTCACCACGCTGCACTGCACTTACATTAACTCAGCTGTGACCACCAGCTTTGTGGGAGTTGTGAAAAGCATTGCTACAATTACTGTGGGCATGCTAGCCTTTAGCGATGTGGAGCCCACCAAACTGTTTATAGCAGGTGTGGTGGTGAACACAATAGGGTCCATCACCTATTGCGTGGTAAAGTACTATGAGACGAAAAAGAAGCTCAACTACCAGGATATGGACGCTGCAGGCAAGGAGGATGAACCACCTGGAGAGCCGTACATAGATCCACCGCCCAAAGCCGATGGAGAGTTGGAAAGTTTTGCTAACGGAAGCCTGAGTGGAGCGTTCAGCGGCAATGGCCTGAGTCCAGTCCGTGACAGTAAAGTAGCAGAGTCCATAGAGTTAGAAAGACCAGCATTTCTGGAGAACGAGCCAACAAACCAGTCTTTAACTGACAACTATGTTGGTGTCTGGAGGTCAGTTCGCACCTTAAAGTTCCTGAAGAAGGACACCTTACTTGACAACATGGAGGTGCAAAGTCCTTGATGAAGGATTTCCCAAATAATAGAGGTTGCTAAGCATGCTAAGCTAAAGTGTTGTTACAGACTGACATTGTGAACAAGAGAAATGTTCACCTTTGTCCTCGCTCTCTTAAAAGAGTAGCTCACCCAAACATGCTAACATGGCTAACAGTGAATGGAAGTAAGCACCAGCAGCATTACGCCATGGTGACTATTCACTATTAGCATTAGCATTTGTGATTGAACTATTCCTTTAAACCTGGTTTTAAGGAAAGCAAGTATTTTTTAACAACAGATAATTATGTTGGTGGTTAAAAACTTATAGTGTGTTTGTATTGGCTGAAAAAACTGTGCAGGCTGCTTGTAAGAGTGTGTGAGTGTTACAGTGATATGGCTCATGCTGAGTTATCAGTTTTCCCAGCAGTCTACTGATCCAAATGAATGAGAGAAAAAAACAATTTAGAAAATAATTTAGAATTTTTGATTTATATACAGACAGTACATGTGTAAATCCAGTGGTGAACCATGATTACTAGAGCTAGGCATTCAATTCGGGCCATAAATGTCAAAACCGTCTTTTACAACAATGCTAATTTATGCTAGCACCCCTATAGGTTTTGTAGCAGTATATTAGCGCTCAGCTAGCACTAGTGCACTTTGTTCTAGATCAAACACACATTTGAAGCTTACAAAATACATTCCATATGTTTTATTTGAAGATGGTAACAGACATTAACATATATTTGAACAGTTTTACAGTGACCCTCCATTTCTGAAACTTTGTTAGACTGCGGCTCGTATTCGCAGTGACATATCTAGAACTTCCAGAAGGTCTAGAGTGACGTTTTTATCACAAAATTGGTCGCATGCACTGTAATTTGAAACTTAATTTGTTGATTCCACTGTCTGTTTCTAATTATGCTTGTGATTAATCTAAAATGTAAGGTCTTCAGTTCAGCTCCTGAAGTCCTAACCAATGGGAGAGCTCGCTTGGCTGCATCTACCCAGATACCACCGGAAAAGTTTGATCCTTTTTTCATTTTCCAGTGGGCATTTCAAGATTGTAACCTTTTTGTTTCCAACCAAAACCTAATGATATAAGAGTATTATTGCAATACATGGGTTTAAATACAAGCATGACAAAACTATTAAATGAAAAAATGAATTTTGTTTGTAATTTCCAGAAATCATTAGGCCTAAAGGCTCTGATGGTTCTCCACTGTGTAAATCAAACAGATGTACTGGTGTATAAAATGTGCAACTGAATCTGATTTGTTTATTTTTAATGGTTATTTATATATTTTTGTGCACGTCGTGTCTGAATTCTCTTTAATTTGAAATGCAATGTTCAAAAAAAAAAGCCATTGTCATTTGCATGTACAGTGCAAAGTAATTTCAAACAAGTTTTATATGAAAAAGCTTGAGATGCTCATGTCATCTTTAATGATATGGCCTTCATTCAAGACATCACCCAGCCGCCCTGGTCATGCTGTCATCAAGAAACGGTTTTGAATTGAACAGTAAGATGACTGTGATAAGGTTCGCTTAACAGCAAGACAATCTAAATTCACTTTGAAAGATCCAGCCAGGGGCAAAAAGACATTAAGTTATCCTTTATGTTGAAGTCAATATCATTAGAGCATGTGTTACCACAGTTTGTACAACTGAGAGGCTTCCAGCCGACAAACCCCAGAGCAAGACCACCTTCTGGGACCATGAGCGCTGCAATCCTTTTCGAAAAAACTGTCAGATGTTCTGTGTAAAGGGATGCCTTTGTGATTAAAAGAGCGCATATCTGAATGTGAAAGCGTTCCAGCTTTTCTTTAAATCCCCTCTTATCTAAACACATACACATACACGCGGTGGATGTTGCTCTCTAGTGTACCTGCAGGCTATGAGGCACAAGCATCAACTATAGCCCGAGTCAGCACTCTAGCTGAACGAAAATTCACCCAAAGTGCCTTTGAAAAACTTCAGTTTTGCTCTGTCTGTGAGAAGAAAAGATGGAACAAGAAACCTTCAAACTGATAACAAAAAGAGATCAATTTTAAAGACCAATGGAGGAAAGAAGTAAAACGTACAGCATAAATGAACTCCCGTGGAGAAGAATATGGAGCAGTACAGACATATACATGAAATACAGTCGTATAAAACTCAGCAGGAGTGCCGCAGAGAACACAGTAAAACAGTGAGATAGAGCCAAACGTCATAGTGCACATATCTAACATGTCATTGAACATGGGCTGTATGATATAAAATCTCCTCTATCATAATATGCACATATATTTGCTCAAATTGAAAATATATATGTAATATATATGCACATATGTAGATGAAATATATGTAATAGTGTCTTTTTTAATATTTACATACATATCTAACATATTTGGAAGTATTTCACAAACTTGACTCATATTTTGAAAAACTATATTGATATATATTACTGTTATATGGGATAATTCATCTGAAAATAAACTTGGTTTCAAATAGACACACTTATTAACAATTCATATAATTCATATATATATATATATATACATATATATATATTGAAACAGAAGTTGTGCTTTATAGTGTCCCACTCTAAACCTGTTGCCATAACCTAACGTTAACCCCATGCTAGCACACTAGGTGCAAGCTAATGTGCTAGTCACAATAAAACAAAACAATTTGATAGAATACAATATGTTGTTACATCCCTAGTACTTACGTAGTTTCTAAAACGGTATGCTGCTCTAAAAATGGATAACAGTACAGTTTTATCTAGTTTTTATAGTTTTACAATTTGCAGTGTCAGAATAAGCTAGTGAACATAAGCTTTAGCATAAGTTAGTCTATTTCAGATTAGTGAACAGTTCAGTGTGGATTAGGGAAAGTGTGTGAGGCTCACAGTTAGCATGATGCTAAAGTCATTAGCTTACTCAGCTACATTAGCCTTGTAGCTGCAGTGCAAAACTGAAAAAGCAAACTTCTGACACCAAATATGTCAAGGCTGATCATTTACATTTTAGGCAAGGAGGGAAAATGTATCTGATTTTTGGCCAAACCATCATTTTTATGGCTTCTTCATCCATGATGTTTCACATTATTTCCCAGCTGATACAAGCGTGTTCACAGCTTTGTCCTCAGTCATAACAGTCCATTTATTTCCACTTTTTTTCAAATGTTGAGTTGTGTAATCTAAAGTGTGCAACTGGCATCATAACTTTCATTTTCAGTTCGACCCCCTGCTGCCCTCAGTACGCACCTGGAGCTTTTGTTACCATGTGCAGTTTGACCAGGTTAAGAATAATTAATTTTTTTCTTTTCATTTTTGCTCAGGGCATATTATGAAAGGATCATTTACCAGACACAATATGGCAAAGGCCCTCGGAGCCAAACATATTAAAAGTTAATGAAATGAAAAGATAGCCTTAGCGTCACAAAACAAGGCCTAGTATTTTCTCAAGAGCATCATATGCCACTAAGTTCATTTGAATAGAAGTGAGTGCTTTAAATGATACTCTTACCATTTAATGATGATCCTCTTTACAAAGACACTTTTTGGAACCCTAGTCTGCTCTCCAGTGTCTCATACTTCTAATGGCAATCTGTGATGGAGCGTTTGTTTTCCTTTGCTACTCCATTTATGCTGTGACTGAAATACCCATGTGAACAACTTTCTTTCTGGCTCTGAAGCACATTCATATGCATATTTTCAGCTTTTAGAGGGTGTACAGGGATCGTATTTGCCACTTTTTTCATACTGGAAATACAAATGCTACAACAAGCTCTAGTGATTTAACTACCAGAAGCTCCTGAGAATTGTGGATAAACACATTAGCTTCTACCCAGCAGTGGGCCATGAGTGTTATCTCTCACATGGCTCAGATTGTCTCCCACAAGAACAGCAATGCTTAAATGTCTTTCATAATGTGTTTTAGCTCACCAAACAATCTAATTTACACAATTTTCCCTTTGTGTTAAATGTAATCAATCAGCCAAGTTTGGTATCCAAAGTCTGCTTCTTTAGTTTTGCACTGGAGCAATGGCTACCCAGCTAAAAAAAAACAAAAACAGCATAGACCAGCATACAATCCATTACCAAAAGTATGTGGACACCTATCCTAAATATTGAGTTCAGGTCTTTCAGCCACACTCATTGTTAACAGGTGTATAAAATCAAGCATATAGCCAGAGATGCAGTCTCTAAGGACAAACACTCACAGTAGAATGGGGCATACTGAAGAGCTCAGTAACTTTAAAAGTGACACAAGTCAGTTTGTGAAACTTCTACCTTGCTAGATCTGCCCTGGTCAACTGTAAGGGCTATCATTGTGAAATGGAAGCATCTAGAAGTAACAGCACTGAAGCAGTAGACCTGTACTCACAGAGTGGGGTCACTGAGTGCTGAAGCATGTAGCGCGTAAAAATTGCCTATCAATTGTACGTATAACAACGCATAACAACTGTACGTCATCGCTTCATCATCTGTCAGACTGATGGACAAATCTGGGTTTGGTTGATGCCAGACAAACACTACCTACCGGAATGCACAGTGCCAACAGAAAAGTTTGCTTCCAACTTTGTGGCAACAGTTTGAGGAAGGCTCTGTGCTGTTCCAGCATGACTGTCCCTCTTTGCACAAAGCAATGTCCATAAACACATCATTTGATGAGTTTAGTGTGGAGGAACTCCAGTGGACAGCACAGAGCCCTGACCTTAACCCCTCTAAACACCTTTAAGATGAACTGGAGTGCTGATTTCAAACCAGGCCTTCTCAGCCAACATCAGTGTTTGACCTCCCAAATGCTCTGTTTACTGAATGGCCACATCTAGCCGCGGAGACAATTCCATGTTAATGTCCATGATTTTGGAATGGGATGTCCTACAAGGATGTGATGGTCAGGTGTCCACATACGTTTAACCATATAGTATAGTTGGTCACCAGCAAAACCAGCATATGTTGTGTTTTTGGATGCAGAAATGCTGGTCAACCAGCATGACCGTACTGGATGACCAGTTAAGCCAGAACCAGACCAGCATAAACCAGCATACACCAGCATGACATGTATGCTTGTCTGGGCTGTTTTTTTCAGCAGGGTAGATGATAGAAGTCTATCCACCCATTCAACTTACAACCTCTCACAGCATAAAAACAGGTGAAACAGTGAGCAGTAGATTTTTCAGTTGGTACACGCGAGTCCTCGGCTAGGTTAACCTCAGTGAGCTAATTAGCTAGCCATGCAAACTTTGCAATACTAATCATTTTGGACATATATTTTGTGAATAATTGCTTTGTCCTTTTGTAAGCTTTAATGTAAAACTCTAGTCTTTATTGTGCCTAGCTGTGTAGCCTTTAACGTGCTAACTAAGCTAAAAAAGTAATGAAGTATTAACAGTCATTTATAACAGATTGAGTATTTTCATACCTGAAACCTGAGACTGAATATAGCAAAATAAGACTAAAAGGTCTCTGAATAAAATTTAAATTTTCTGACAAAATGAATGACCTCATATGAGGTGATCATCTTCTGGTTTTCAAACATATAGCATTTCAAAGTATTTTATTGCTTTGACTTATAAACAGCTTTGTCCACCATTTTTGTATTCATGCTTGAGAGTCGACACTTATGTTCACTCGGTCCTTTGCCTCTCTGAGGCCTCATCATAATAAACCTCACTTCTACTAATAAAGTGATGAAACGGCCCTTAAGACGGCGTCAAGGGGAAATGGCCAGGATAGACCTTTATTATATTAGCTCGTAGCTACAGTGAAAAGCCAAAGAAGCAAACTTCTTCAAACTTCAGACTGTCTTGTCTGATCAAATACATTTGGTGTAAATGAAAAAATGGGGAAAGTTAATTTTTCTGTGACCATTTCTTTAAGTTTAGCAATATCATGACAGAAAATAACCCCTCACCTTTCAAATTTCCTTTTTCAGAGAAGTGAACAGGTAAGCTTATCCAGCTTATGAAATATCTGTTCTGGGCTGAGTCTAAAATAAGGAATTAAGGTCATTGCTTTTTTTTCCCACAGTCTGCACGTGTCTCTATTGGCAGACAGTTCTCCTTCCCCAGCACATTCACCAAGTTTGTGGCCGTGCTTTGTCCAATAGGATTTAAGGAAATGTCTTTGCTTCTATAAAGGAGGGCAGAGGTTTTTCTCTTTGTGTTTAACATCTAAATATTACTCATGCCTTTGCAATAGCATCCAAAATGTAAAACACCCCAAAAAAAAGTGTCCAAAGATGTCCAGGCGCCGTTTCCAATTAGTGAATTCAGCCAATTAAAGGTGCACACCCTGCTGACACAGGTTTTCAATAGCGCGCACACACATAGCTTGTATAATCTCAATTGAAAAGCAACAGAAAGCAATAGAATGGGACACTCTGGAGCAGCTACACTTGAACCTTAATTCACCTTGCTTAATGTCAGGCATCGGTTAGAGGGGTTTAGAACCCCCCAGCTTTGGGCTGTGGAGCAGTGGAACCTTGCTCTCTGAAGTGATGGAGCTCCATTCAATGCCTTTGGGATTAGTTGGAGTGATCCAGAACTAATCAACCAACATCAGTACCTGATCTCACTAATGGGTGCAATCAAATCCTCACAGCAATGTTTCAACCTCTAGTGTAAAGCATTCCCAGAAGAGTAGAGACTGTTACTGCTGCAAAGTAGGGCAAACTCACTATGAATACCCTTCATTTCAAAAGAAACACTGGATGAGCAGGTGTCTACAAACCTTTGGACATACAGTGTACTTAAATCTTTCTAGACGCAACCAAAATAGACCTTACCTTGAGAAGTTGTTATTATTTCAAAAATAATATTTTGGCAAAAACGGCCTAATTTCTGTGCTGCTCTGTCAAGGTAAGGTGCACTTGTTCAGTTCTACAGTTTGCCAAGAAAGCCTGGCTTAGTAAGCAATGAGCAGAGATCCTTTTGTGACTGCTGTGAAAAGCCGCCATCTAGTGGACACTAACTGGAAGTACCTAAAGTTCCTACACTGATAGGCACTGACAGTGGTTTAAAGATTAACTCCCAAGCTCTATTTCTTAACTCGTTCTTTATATTTTTACTCAGTAAGAATAACAATCCATGGCTTTCAGCATTTCATTCTAATAGGAAGAAAAAAAATAAATGTGATCATTAAAATTTAAAATAAAGCCAAAAAATCTCGTACAACTGTAATTTACACACCTTGAAATGTTAATTATTACATATTCAAATTTAAATGAACTCAAAATTGATTTGTGAACATGTAAACATTTAGTTCTTGTATGTTCGGGTACATTTCTGACATGATAGGAAAAAAACACGTATTGTTTCACGAAATGTGGTGAAACACATGACAGTGTTTCCATTGTTGCTACTCCTTCGACTTATTTTCGAAACGCGTTCGCAAGAGTTTGTCCCTCTGTGGTGTCCGTACCGCCGCGTAACCAAGCCGGGCGAATTTGAAAGACGGGCGCGATTTTCAACAACAGACCGAGAGAAGAAAGAAACAGGTTCGTATCTGTTTATTCCGACTACATATTCAACACTGTAACGTATGGATATGACAGTATATGTTTCCTGAGTCGATTAAGTGACCCGTTCCGGTCAGATATGGAGGAGTGATGGTTAATTCACTTGTTTTGTGTGAATTGTAACGTTAGTGAGATGGAGGCCAGCGCGGATTTCAAAACTCCCTGCAAACCAGCCAGAGTGAAGAGCCCAGGTACAGCTTCAATTACCAACACTTACACATTCATTATCAACATTATAGATAACAGGACGAGGCTGAAATTGGCTTCTTATTCGAATTTTCCGTTCCACCTTAAATGACTTACGTGGCGCAGCAGTTACGGTCTGGTGTCAGTGCAAGAACGTCACTGCTGCGCTGTTTAAGGTGGAACGCGAAATTCAAACAAACTTAAGTCTTGTCATTACAAAGCTGTTTATTTAAGCTACAACGCGTAACTTAAATAAGTCCAATGTTTGTTTCTTAATTTCTTAAATTAATTTCTTAAATTTAATTTCTTAGTTTCTTAAATAATACTTGTTTTTTTAATTAATTTACAGTTTGTAAGAATGAAATAAGTTACCTCTCACAGACATTCAGTTTAAAAAAGGTTCAAAGTGGTTTTTTTAGGGATGCATGATAGTGTTTCTCATACATATCTGCTAGTGCCGCTATATATGTGTTTTTAAAATGTTGAAATTAGGATCCAGGATAAACGTTATAGGAAATTATAACGCTTATTTCAGTAGAGTTACAAAAGCAGTAAAATAAATAAAATGCAGACAGTTTTAGCACAGAAGCCCAGCGTCACTCAAACACTCCATAAAACAATCAACATGTCATCAAATATCAATCAAATCTGTTTCTTTCTTTTTTTTTTTAACAATAACCAGTTTGATTCATATGTCACAGTGTGTCTCTAGTCTTTGTGCTATAAAAGCCAACAGCCACAAGTATAAAGATAACTAAAATGGTTAGACATGATGAGCTCTCAAGAAACGAGAGAGCAAGAGTTAAATATGCAAAATTCCACAAGCAGTACTGTCTGTCCTGAGTGTGACAGGCACAAGTTAAAGACCTCAAATGGGTATTTTAAGATGAAAATTCACTTTTACCTTGTTGGTTCATGTGCCTGGTCATATTAAGCACAATTCATTTCAATCAATATCATTTGATAGACAGAGTTGTTTTTTCCAATAATATTTGATCAAAATATAATGACTTTAGCCTGCCTCTAAAACATCTTCTGATTTTTGATTACATCATTATGCACTTGCAGGTGGGGAAAGTAAAATTTACCAATAATAGCATGTTTCACTTCCCTCTCCCACCACCCCCACCTCTCACTGAGAGACAACACTCAGCTCAGAAATACGTCACGGTACAGGAAGAAAATGTGAGAAATTGTTTTCTAAATCAGTATTCACTGAAACAGTTATTCTTCTTGTATTGGCTTTAGTGGGGAAATGGAGAGCAATCCCGTCTTGGAGTTCCCTTTTTCTGCATGTTATAGTGTTTTCCTGCACTAACACATCCACTTTAACTCAGGAAGGATTTGTTAATGAACCGGGCTGGGTTTCCCAGAAGCTTCTTAGCACAAAGACGGTTCTTAAAAGGTAGAATGAGCACTACACTGAACACTCTCGCCACCAGTCAAGATGATCTTAAAGGGGAATTCACCCATTTTTTTCAAAATTTTTAAAACTTTGTGGTTTTATGTAAAATGACTGTAGAGAAACATATTGACTCTAATTTCTTTACAGTGGTGGTGATAGGAACCAGGGGTCGCAATGTCGACAACACAAACATAGCCATGTTATCATCCAGAACCGCCAGTGAACCTACATGTCTTGCGCTTTTATATGCAATTTTGATGGTGGTAAAATAGTGATAAATCTCAGGGGAAAAAATGGACGTACGCCCTCTGCATGTACCCCTTTAACGTGAATACACAAGTATGTTTTAGACTAAAACTTCATCGCAAAATGTAATAACCATCTGTGGAGGAGCTTTTAGAGTTGGATGTCCGGTTCCCATCTCCACCACTGTGAATAATTCTGTCTCCGTAAGTTTCTCTACAACAGAGCATTTAACCTCTGACCACTCTAAATGACTTTCTTAACCATTTAATTAAACAGCAATACAAAAAATGGTTGAATTCCTCTTTAACACTAAGATGCTTTTGGGAAACTAACGCGCCTAATTTAACGGATCAGGGCTCAGAGAGTGAATAACAACATGTGTCAAATAGGGGGCTTCCAGTACCAGTGGCGTATAGAAACACATTTCTTTAATCAATATTGAAATTCCTCAATATTCCAACTAGGGGAAAAAAAAACATTTTTAAAAGCAGCATGGCAGTTGAGCAGCTCATGACACCTAACTTATAAAAACCTGCATGAGGTGTGATATCCAACATGCATTTGCTGTAGTAATTGTAGTTGGTGTACTACATACATGTCATACAGTGTTTCCAAAAGTGTTTATCTTTAATCTGTTTTGTTGTGGTTGTTGTTTTGTTGTGTTTTGTCAAACATTTTTTAGTTTGATTTTGAAATTTTCAATTTTTCAGTTTTTTCAGTTTCAGTTTCATTGCAAGGACACACAAATCTGATATTTGAGGTGGGACAATATTTTATTGTTTTCATGATGAATTTCATTACTGTGATAAATGATATGCTCAGAGAATCAAAAATCAGATTTATGTGCCCTTACACTGGGTCTCTATCAAACTGAAACAGGTTTGACAAAATGCAGCAAAACAACCAGAATAAAAATCATCGGTATGTAGACCAACGTACCAACTGCATTATTCATTAAAAACATAATGAGTCCTGTTTAGGTGGATTTGGAGCAGTGCAGGATATGAAATGTTGAATAAACGTCATAACAGTTTTTGAAGGCCAATTTTTAAATATGGCACTACTACTGAAGTGTGTCTGTCAGACTATCGTGATACGTTTGGTGTATTGTGAAAATGTCTTTAAATATTGTGACGTGATATTTTTGCCATATTACCTACTCCTATCTGATATGAGACGATGAGACACATTTGAAAGAGATGGGGTAAAAATTTTTAATCAGCACATCAATTCAGCAAAACGAATGCTTTTCCTTTTCTTGCCAGGTAGTGCCTGCGGAACTCCAGTTACAATCCCTGCTTCTCCTTTTATGAAGAAGCTTGGATGTGGCACCGGAGTGAGCGTCTATCTAATGAACAGGTGCAGTGACTGATCTGTGAAGGCCATTTAAATGATTCCTAAAAACGTGTTGATTTCATTACTGTTAAATAGCTGCATTAACAGTAAGTATGTATGTATGCATATATAAAATACTGTTTCCAATCTGTTTTCAGAAATGGAAAACAGACTCATTCACCATGGGCCATAAAGAAGATCAACAGCAAGTGTGCAAAGAAGCAGATGAACGTTTATCAGAAGCGACTGTCTGAAGAGGCAAAGATTTTAAAAGATCTGCAGCACCCCAACATTGTTGGTAATTATAACTTTATAGTTGTCATTGAATTTAGAGCTGTGACCAGTGATTTTGTATAATTAAAAATATTAATTAACATATTGCTTATTACTTGATTAATCAACTAGTCTAACTGTTATGCCTTCAGTTCCTCTACCTTCTTATGGGCACATGAAATAGTAGGAGCCTTATTGCCTCCAAGAGAATGAATAAAAGCATTGTAGGAAATTGATTCTTTTTTTCTGCCTCAAACTACACCTCTGCAATTCTCTGATCACGAAAAACCATGTCAGCTCTGCTCAACAATTTAACTGCGATCGGTATAGCATAGCGGGAAAGTACACTATGCTGTACCATTAAGAGTCCCAGGGCAAGACTCCTGACTCTACATTCGCCACTCTCTGTAATATGAATAGAGTTGTAAGTCACTCTGGATAAGAGCATCTGCCAAATGCCATAGATGTAAATTTAATTTGGCCAAAATTAAACTGATGAAAATCTAAAAGCAGTGTTCTGCTTTCTGAATGCCAGGCTTCAGAGCCTTCACCACAGCAAAAGATGGCTCTAAATGCTTGGCTATGGAGTACGGTGGAGAGCAGTCTCTTAATGACCTGATTGAAAGGAGGAGAGAGGCAGGACTGCAGGCCTTTCCAGTTGCCACCATTGAAAAAGTGGCCCTCCATGTAGCTCGTGGCTTACAGGTAAAGCATAAATTACCCCACCTGCATTCTCTCTGTTACATTTATCCCAGTAAACACTCACTGTTTTCATTTAAAGGAATTCACAATGTCAAATCCATGTGTTTGTAAGTTAATATTACTATTTTCTCTCAGTACTTGCACAATGAGAAGAAACTCCTACATGGAGACATGAAATCATGCAACATTGTCATTAAGGGAGACTTTGAAACCATCAAAATCTGTGATGTAGGTGTATCCCTTCAGTTGGATGAGAACATGCAGGGTAAGCAGTGTTCTGATTTATTTGTTTTTATTTATACAGTGTTTGCTTCAAGACTTGGTTTAGCATGCTTTTAATCTCTCTTTTCAGTGAGTGATCCAAACGCCTACTATATTGGAACGGAGCCCTGGAAACCAAAAGAGGCCCTGGAGGATGGGCTGATCACTGACAAAGCTGATATTTTTGCATATGGCCTCACTCTGTGGGAGATGATGACTTTGTCTGTGCCTCATCTGGAGATGCTGGACAGTGAGGGTGATGGTGATGATGGTAAATATCATGACATGAGCTAGAAGGACTTTTATGAAAATATTATGTTTTAATATTTCAAAAAGTTTGATGTAGTCTATAGAAAATGTCAGTAATATTTAATGACAAAACATTTTTTAAAACTTTAAACCTACATTGGAAATGGTGTTTTTTTGTTTGTTTGTTTGTGGGGAGGTGGTGTGAGAGAACACACTATATACATTTAGTGTTGTAACAGATTTCCCTCATGTTCTACATATAACCAATACAAAGAAACACAGACCGAATGGTGAGAGAGGTGTAGCTGGACTGAGTAGGAGACAAGCATTTTTAAAAGTAACGCAGCCACTGTTTAGCTCTTACAGCCTTTTAAAGTAGAAGGTTCTGAAACCGCTCTGTATGGCAGAAAAATATGATCTCAAGTAAGAAAAAAAAAGAAAAAAATGTTAATTATAAGGTCCTGGGAAGTCGGGGAAGTCAAAGCTACATAAGTTGTGAAATAGATGAAATTGGAGATGGTAACAGTAACACACCCCACCCCCCTTTTTTTTTCCTCTCACCACACATTTTCATTATTGTTTGCTCAGAAAGTCAATGGAAATGTAAATATTTATATTTAGGTATATTTCAGTGTTTTCCAATCCAGGAACTACAGTTTTAAAGCACTACACACCCATTTGCTAATCAAATAGGGCTCCTTAATTAACCATGTTAAAATAGAAATGTTGTTGAGAGACATTTGAGTTGCATGTATTGGTCACATTAAAGGAGCCAAACGCCTTGCTGGTAAAGACATAACCAGAAATGCTCCAGGATCCAGGTCTCTTATTATTATATTGTAATCAGTTTTTTGAGCACTGCTGTCTTTGTGACCATACTGACTGGTTTTTGACTAATATTACCAGAGACATTATTAGAGGGATAACTGTAGAAACAGACATAGGATAGTATCATTAAACCTTTGCCTCCATTGTTATTTAAATACATAGTAGCTGGAAAAAAATATTTTTTCATACAACATAATCAGTTTTTTGTGCTATTTGAAATGAAGACCACAAGCTTATACATTTTATCACATTTTACCAATGATTTTTTGAAACATTAATCTCCTACTGATGTTTAAGCTAAAGGTATTTTCCAATTCCAGTAGGAAACGTTATGATTTATATTACATTTCTGACGATTTATGTCCGCCAATTCATCCCACAGTTTAAGATATTGACTCTGTTCCAACTGTGGAATGTTCAGTCTGATTGGGAAAGGTGTGCTGGCATACGGCTTTTTGATTGGTATTAATTTTGTACGATGATCATCAATTGGCTAGCCATATTTTTTTCCCATAGGAATAAATGGTGGGCAAAAGTTTTGCACGCCACTTATATCCGGATGATACACATACCCTAGCAACCACCTAATATGTCGAATACAAATAGCCATCTAAATATCAGAGTAACTACAAGGAAACACCCTAGCGACCATCTGGAAATTTCTTAAGCTGCATAATCACTCTGTTTTCTTCTGGAAATGCACCTTTCTAGTTCTAAATATGTTCACGAATCATGAACTCGAATGCCTGTAGTACACCATCGCTGCTGTTCGTACATCAGATTGTTCCTCTACCTTTTCACATTAAATTTACGTTTTGTAAATCCATACTTTAACATGAATTTTCCCATATGATCATTGTTGGCTGAAATCTGTGAATATCTCTTCTATAAATGAGGCCCCTGGTCTTGATGGATGGAAAGAACTAATCGAGGGTACTGTCAAGATGTCCTTTAATGGACACACTTGCTTTTAAGGGCATTGCTACAGAATATATTTTAAAGGTGACCTTTTGGCCCTTTTCCCCTCAGATGATTCTTTTGATGAGGATGACTTTGATGAAGATGCATATTACGAGAGACTGGGGACACGACCACCACTTGACACAGCCACTCTCGGTGGTGCCTATCAGAGGATGGTGGAGCTTTTCTGTCTCTGCACTGAGGAGGACCCCTGCAAAAGACCCTCAGCCTCACACATTGTTCAGGCACTGGAGTCTAACAGCCAGCTTGATGAGACACGTCTTGATGTTATAGTCATAGACTAAAGTGGGTAATTGTTTGAGCAGCAAAAATGACGGTCTTTGTTGAAATGTAAATTCTCTATTGTCCTGTTTTTTGTTGCCTAACAAAACTGTAATGTATGTTTTGTGCGTCTGTGTATGTTTGTTCTTAAATGTTGGCATTCTCAAGTATAAATCATTTGTTTTTAATAGTCTTTTCTCTGGATTACATGGGTGATGTTGGACCTTATTTGTAAATAGATGGCATTCATTTGACATTCACTGTTCTGCTGTTTTCATTCTGAATGGTCACTGAAACAGGTATTTCATGCTTAGCAGCAGCTTTTATTTAAAATATTTACAGATCAAAAGCATTTAAAACATTCAGGATGGGAGCTTTGTTGTTCCTGAGGACAGGATTTCAGCCTAATTTGGGTCACTAGAAGTCTACAAGCAACTATAACGGGGTAGTAAAACAAAGGGAGTCAAATGAACTTTTCAAACGCCAAACAGTTCAGTAACAATGTTAACAGATTACTTTTTTTAGGAAACAGGTTTCTGGGACTCCTGAATTAATCTGTAGGTGAATTCAAATTCCACTACTGTCCTTGAGGTTTGAGGTGAAACTCGAATACAGAGAAACTATAGTGGTGGCAATAGGAACCATGGGTCATGAACACAAATATAGCAATTTTATTTACTACCAAAACTGACCAGTGAACCTACATATTTGTTCTATGTTTTTAATGTGTAATTATGATAAAATAACCAAGTCTTTTTTGTCTTACAATATTCTAAATGTACCTCTCTGTGATGAATAGATTAAAAAAAAGTAATGGGCCAAAACATTTGGGCATTAATGCCTTTTCTTATCGCCACCACAACTTTCTCTAGAAAAGCGTTTCACTTCAAACAACTCTGAATGACTGTTTACATTTTGGGGGGGGTGGGGGACCTGGAATTCCCCTTCAATGCATGCCAGGAAAAACAACCCTTAGTATTTAATGTAATTGTTTTAAAGATAAAGCTGCAACAGCAGCAGTCACTCAGTCTAAAAGCATGAAATGCTAACAAACATTAAATCACTTGTGTGGAACGGAGTACAAAAATTAGCCGATGAAGTTGTACACCAAAAAGGCTGGGGTTCCGCAGTACTTTGTTGCGAAGAGCTTGCCATCTGGGGTGGGATCAGAGAAGGCAATTTCCTCTTTGGTCAAGTGACTTCCATACATAAATGAATTCCTAGATTAAAAAAAAATAATAATAATGATAATAATAAGCAGTTAAGACCTTTATTCTTAAATTAACATTATCTGCTATTGAGCTAACAAACAGAAACTTGTTCTTCATGATGACTGAAGGTTGAATATAGTGTATGACTCAGTCACTCTAGCACACAGCATATGTATTACCCTGTCTGTGGACAGGCTGAACAAAATCAGCAAGAAGAAAACATTTACCTGACTGTGTCTAGCATACGTGTGGCAATGCCCTTCCTCCTCATCAGGCTGAAGACCCAGATACGACTGATTCCACAAATAGCTTTCTCAGGCACAGTGGAGCAGCACCAGGCTCTGTGTCGCTCCATAAAGTCTTCTTTGGTCATGTCCTTTGTTTTCTCTGGTTGTTCCAGCACCCTGAATGCCTGGCAAATAAACAAAAACAAAAAGCCAATTAACTCTCAGTACCTCTCCAATCAATGATTACAGAAACAGATTTTACAAAATATCAAAATAAATGATACAATAATTAAAGTAAAAAAAAAATCAAGCATTGAGTCAAAAGTTTAAACACCCCTGGTCAAATACCATGTTTTGTTTATCTTCTAGGTGAAAATAAGTTAGCATCCACTACAGAGAACACATTCTGTACAATTTTTGAACAATTACTTTTTATTTGTTGAATTTAACATATTGCAGAAAAAATGAAACATAACATGTGGCCTGTGCAAAAGTTATGTAATATTTTATAGTGTACATTTTATTTTGTTCCAGTATGTTAACCTTGGCAAATAAACAAATTCCCACTAAAATTTGAAGAAAATCCCATGTTTAAGGGCATTCTCTATATGTGATGTTAACATATTTTCACTTAGAAAAATCAACAAAACATGGAATTGGGAGGTAAACTTTTGCATACAACTGTACACCATACATCCTAAAACATGGTTAATAATGGTGAGGGAGGGGAAAGAAGATTCTCACCTGTCTAATGGGTTCAGCAACCAGGCAACCAACCACCATCCTGTCACTATTGATAAACAAGTATGTTCGGGCAGCATTGGGGCTGCTGAGGGAAACCTGCTGAAAGCCTAGCTCAGTGTCTGCAATGCGTCTCACATCCTCTGCCTGAAAACATGCATTAAGAATTACATACTTAGGTACGCACTAATGTTCACAAAATGCTCAGAAAATAATTTCACAGGCACATTAATAATGGTTAAGAACAATGACACACCTTTTTAGTCGCATACTTAGGATCCTCAGGAAGGACAAGGATGATTTTTCCATCCCAGAATTCTGCAGTAACTCTCTCCTTCTTCCAGCCCTTTATCAAACAAAATGGAAGGTTAATACACGGCAAAAACAAACAAATAATAAATAAAAAAAATTATACAAACAATATAGTTGATACAATTGAATAATTTATCATAAATTGTAACAGAGTAACTTCACATAAAACATTATTATTATTATTATTATTATTATTATTATACTACGACTACTATTATTACTACTACTAATAATAAAAGTAAATATTAAAAGTTAATATTATTGCTACTAATAATAAAATCAATATTATCACCAATATTAGCAAAATTTATGACACAAATAACATGACTATTGTTCCTTACCACAAACTTGATTGTGTCCAGGAAGCGCTGGTGGAACTGAGTGTGCTGGAAGTTGTCCTCTGGGCTGTCTGCGCTGTACAGCATGCCACAGGACCCGCATGTAGTGGCTCCAAACTGCTTCTGGCCAGCATCCTGCACAGGAGTTAACGCCCCATCAGTAAATACAGCAAATCAGGGTGTGACCTCCATTCACTTACAATTGCTTCTACTCACTATGACGAGCTGATCGTCATTCTGTTTCTTCAACTCCTTCTTCCTCCTGGCACTTCTCTCTTTGGCCAAGCGAGACGAGGTGCTGGTGAGGGCAGATGGAGTGCTGCAGTTCAGGGGCGAAGACAGACCACCGTTCTTCTGAGACCTGAAGTGGGAAAAATAAACAGGAACAGTTATTTTGATTTCTGAATGATACACCATTCGGTGTGCCCATGCACAGCTCAGTGTTCACAAAAGCTACTGGCTGGTTTCCTAGACCCAGATTATGTTAAACCTGGGACTGAACCTTCCTATCTTTTGTCCTTCGTTAAGATCTGACAGGTCAATTTAAGATTTTTCACAACTTCGTATTACTGAACGGATATGATCTTAGTTTAGGAATTATATCTTATCTTACAGCATCTTCAAGTTCGGAAATCCTGATCAAACAGCAGTCAACAGTCAACTGTCATGTCTGTTACCTAGCAACTGACCATATACACACAGCTGAAACATAAACACAATCAAAATAATGTTAAAAGGTAGTTTGCCAGACAGCTACTGTTACCAATGTAAAAAAGGTCAAAACCAAACTAAAGTGCAGTAAACAGGAAGTGAGGAATATTGTGAAAGCGCCCCCTGCTGTTTATTAGAGCATCACCGCTCCCCAGGTTTATTTTCCATTTCCTGGGGACGGTGGAGATTGTGTCTGCAGTGTTTGGGGTTTTTAAAACACAGAGTAACAAAACAAAAACATCTCACAAGTCAAAGCACCGTTTTCAGTGTAGATAAATGTAAATGTCATTATGCTAGTTATTGTGAACTATGCTGCCATCCTGCAGGTCCAGCAGGCTGAACTGTGATTAAATGGCAGCTATAGGAATAAAGCATTTCGTTATACTCACAACATCAACCTTGTAGCTTTCTATGATCAAATGACCAGGTGTGATGTAAACATCTGGGTCTGTAGAAGATACAACCCTCTAGAAACTCGCTTGTCCTTCAGTAATTTACTGCTGTGCGGATCAGTTTTAATGCAGTTTTATCACCAAGGAGGCAAGTAAATACCAACAACCCATGATAAACTAATGCAGTCCAAACAGTGCATTTGGCTGTTTTTGGTAAATAAAACCACACAAATGTCATAGGACCTCTCGGTAAAAACTATAAAATTACAAGAAAATAAAGAATCATAGCATTTAAATACACAGTGCTGCGCAAAAGTCTTAGGCACCCAAGTACATTGTGTAAAACCCATTTCTCTCAGCAGCGATCGTGGTTTAATTGTAAAAACACCATTTATCTTTAGAAGAGATGCGAAAAAACATAAAATAAACACAATAAAAAGTAGCAAGAATTTGTTGTGAGCTAGTCTCAAAAACAAAGGTCCCAGATTTCTCCTGGACAGTCCCAGCCATTGCATGGATTTGTTAAATTCCATCACCAGCACACTTGATTTCACATAATGAAGTATTGTTTAGCCCAACCAGGTATTGGATGACAACCAGAAACAACACTGGGCTTCCATTAGGAGAGGTTTGGAAATTGTTAAACAAATCACTACTTTTGAGTAGTAATGTTATTTGCATTTATTCTAATATTAGTTTTTCCTGAGCAAACTTACTGCCCAAATAAACAACTTTTAAATCTAATTTTCTCAGGTGCCCAATGTGTTAGTACCAGTTTTTAGACATGAAGTAACTGTACAATGTGTAACAAAATGTACGTTTTTCTTTTTTACCTTTTGGAGCCAAAGATGGGGTATACAGCCGAAAGATTCTGAAAAGACATGATTCATTTTTTATTACTTGTGAAAATCCTCATCCCTGAACTGCATTTCAAAGCAAACACCTGAAACAGTTATTTACCGTTATCTGCACAGATGTCATTGCTCGACGGGCTAATTTCGCTAATGTCCAACGCTGAATCAGAACCAGGTTTTGTGGGTGAACCCTGAAAAATATATTTTAGATATTAAACATGAAGACGGAACACAAATCACCGCTAACATAACATGGTATTGTGTGTAATACTGCATGCTTACCTGCTCATTTGCATTAGAACTACAGGATTTGATGGGAGACACAGATTTCCTCAGAACAACCCTTAATTCCCTGCCAGTGCCAAAAGGGCTCATAGGCAGAGGACTTGATGCTGGTTCTTTACACTCAGCAGCATCATGGTCAGCAACTTTGGATGACAACTGAGGATTTGGCTTGGATTTGCTGGTGAAGACAGCCTGGCGCACTGGAGAATGATCCTTTGGAGCCGCAACCACTTCTTTCTCCATCGTGGTTTTTTCTGAGGTGGGCTTCTGTAAGCTTGCAGGCTGTTTGGGCCTTGGTTTCTGTGCATGTGTCTTATACATTGAAGTGGGCTTTTTACCAGTGCCAAAGAAAGCAGCACCCACAACAATCCTGGGCTTGTTTTTGGATTTCAAACTGCCAAACGTAATAGAGGCTGATTTCTTTACCTCCGCCATCTTTAAGGATGAATCTGGATCGGAAGAACTGCTGCTGTTCGGCTTGGATGAAAAGTAGCCTTTTAAATTCGATTTCTGGCTGCTGACATTAATCTTCGTTTTAGGCTTTTTGGTTTTGACGGGCTTCGCTGTAGACTCAGCAACATTGGACTGATCTTTGCTGGTTATCAGTGGAAGAGATTTGGCCTCCTTTAGAAGCTTTCTTTCAAGGGGTGTCAGATACAGTGGCTTCTGTTTGCTGTAAAAGGATCCTGCTACCACTGTGTCTTTGACAGGCGATGCTTTTTTAGGAGGGGACTCCAACGCATAGGCCCTTGGTATCTTTTTAGGTGTGCTGGGGGACTGTGACGGGGCACGAGACCTTTTCGGCGATTTTAGTGGGGAAGGGCAGTTCTCCTTCTGTCGAGGGGACATTCTCCTCAAACAGTTCTCCTGTCTCAAGACTTTCTTCTTAGCCGGATTACTGTGAGAGGAATTTTTATAGTGTAAGTGGAAAGAGAAGAATCAACTTAAGTATAATCAAAGTGTAACATCTGAGAAACACATACCTTCCAGAATCCGGAGAGGGATGTTTTCTTTTCTTTGTTGCACAGTTTGACATTCTCATGTCACCTGAGGTGAGAAAGGGGATTGGGACTTGAGCCGATATTGACGGGTTAACAGGCAACACTTTAAACTCCTCCTTACTTCTTATCAAGTATACTACCTGATTTATTAAAAGACTCAGAAGGAAGGTACCCTATGTGCCTACCAAATGTAGAGAAAGCACTCTAAATCTATACAAGTAAAAAAGTCTGTTTAATTAATTAATTAATGTATTTATTTATTAATTAAAAAATCTCAGATGAAAGTAAATGTATCTTTCCAGAAAACAACTTGGATGAAGTATAAAGGTATCAGGTCATTGCCTAGAAATTAAAGAGGTATAATACCCGAATTTTCTAGAAAGTACAAAGCCATCAAAATGTACTTCAGTACATAGAAGTGAATAAAATTTCAGGCCAAAACTTTATCACAAAATAATATGTCAGTCATCAAGCTGAATATTCATAACTATTTCATGTAATAACTTTCTGTGAGCGAGGCGTCAATCTTCTCAGACGTCTGGTTCCTAACACTGTGTACAATACTGATTCTGCAAGTTTCTCTATAACAGAGCATTTCACATCAAACCACTCTCAATGACGTAGTTTACATCTCAACCATTTAATTATGCAAACATGTTGAAAAAGAAGTGGAGTTCCCCTTTAACTTAGCAAGCAACCTTACAAGATTATTCTAGCTAAGTTGCAGGTGAACTGAACGGATTCGGCCTGAAAGAAGCGGGTCGAGGAAACTTTGCCAAGTTACGTAGTTAAATATCTCACGTTAGTATTATTGCCTTTATTTAACCAGAAAAACACCCTCTGAGATTAAAAACCTCTTTTTCCTTTTTTTGACCTAAGCAGAACAAGTGTTCTACACAAAGTTAAGCCAAACGGGCCTAGACTGACGTGATTTGCTTTACGAGGCCGAAGTTTTCTTACTCGAACTCTCCGTTCCACCTTAAATGGTGCAGCAGTTCCATTCTGGCGCCTCAGACCTAAACTTTAGCCTCGTATTTGCTTTTTCATTTGACTGCAGTTTCTGTTAAGGCAGCCAGAGACTAGTTAATTAGCTCAAATCACCCTCAACCTGAATGAAAACACTCCAAAATGTCACCTGGGTTTTAGAAAACTACAAAAAATAAAATCAAAAGGCACAAAACGGCCATCTAATGTCAAGAATTAGCAACGAATCACCGCAGAATTAAAGCTAAAGTAAGATCTGAGGGGTTTAGCCTTTAGCTGAGCGGCTCTTGGCGCGAACTAAGATAAACAACAACCTGCAAACGCAGTTAAATAAAGAAGTGGCTGATTAAAAGTAGCCCCTCACCACAGTGTCTGTTAGCTGATATGAGTCGGTTTTGCTGTTCAGTAAGGTGAACAGTTTATTCCTGCCTTGGTGCCGGTGATGTGACGCTGTCTGTCTCTGTGACTCGGCGGGTTTTAGACTTTAGCGCTTTTGAACAGCGCGCCAAAGCCGCAAAGTCCGCGCGGAAGAGCGCAGCAGTCAGAACGGAAAAGACTTTTAATTTAGACCACGGTTAACACATCCACACAATAAAAGACTGCTTTTAAAATGTTATTATTATTATTATTATTATTTTGTTCATATATTTTTAGGTTGTGTGTTATGTTTTAGCTTTTATGTTTTTTTGTGCTATAAAATTAAGAACAAATGAAACAAGAATGTCAAATAAAAAAAACAACAAAATAACGCCTAAACTCTTAAACGTCTTAAATCGAAACGAAGTATTTCCTAAACCTTTTTAACCCTTTTAAGACTTTTCTTTTTAGACGTGTTTTGTTCTAAAAAAATGATTTTTTTTAAAGAATCTTAGATGTGTTTTTATGAATTAATTTTATGTTGTTTATTTTGTGTAAAGTGTCTTGAGTTGATGCTGTCTTAAAGTGTGCTGTATAAATACAATTTATTAATCATTTTAATCAATACATTTTTTTATTTAAGCTTCTTGTACCGTCGCAGTCTATAAAGAGAAGAGGCTACATGGAGAAAAAATAAAATCTAAAAATAATGTAATAATTTGGCTAAATTCTTACAGCCGTTTTCTGACTCGAAGAGGAAAGCACTTATAAATCGCCTAGAAATTATTTGATTTTTGTTGTGGGTGCTTTGCATTAATGTTTACATCAACGCATTTGTGTTTTGATCAATACTTTAATAAAATAAAAGTCTGGAGGTTGCGCCGGAAATCGCTTCCTTCAGACCGGAAATAACTTCCTGTGTGGGATGAGGTCGTAGCTGGGTGTTAGTCACACTATGTTGAAAACGCATCTTTAGACTTTATTTTTGTTTGAACAAATCTGTCTTTTTCTCTGCTCTGAACGTTTTTCTTCTCTCAAGCTTCCTGTCTGAGCGAAAATGGTTTTCTACTTTACAAGCGCCGGTGAGTGAACGAGGCTGAAGTTGGCTTCTTATTGGAAATGTCCCGTTCCACCTTAAATGGTGCCAGAATGTAACTGCTGCACCATTTAAGGTGGAACGGGCAGTTCGAATAAGAAGCAAACTTTAGCCTCGTGATTTAATACACGCTGATACTGAATAACGGAGTTAATGTTAATGCTGTTGAAGTCTAAATGATTTCACATAATAAATCAATTTTTTACTGAAATTAACTCGCTGTAACGTTAGTGAAGCCCAGAGGTTGGTAGTAAGGTTAACTAGTTCCAGCTTACATCTCTTAGTATATTCAGATGATAATACTTTAACATCTGCTCAGGTCTATATTTGTAAGAGACAGTATTCCACATTTAGTTACTGATTCCTTTTTGTTGGTGATCGTCTGTAATGCTTTGTGATTGGTCAAGCTCTAACTTTTGAAGTTGGTCATTTTATTTTAGGCCAAAAGTGCATCAAAAAGACAAATAGTCTTAACAAGCTTCAGTTCCTGTGCTGATATATGCTCTTTAGCTGTTTATTTTGAGCTTGTTTAGTTCTGCTCAATCTCTTTTTTTATACATCTACACTTTTAAAACCGATGGTTTTTCAATGGTTCTTTAAATGGAATGGTTCTGTTTAGAACCCTAAGTACTATATTGAACCATTTCATGCTTAAATGGTTCTTTCCATGGTGAAACAGTTCTTCATATTGATTGAGAAGGTGTTGTATATGGTCCTGTATCGAATCTTTTTGAAAATGTTTTACACATAGTTACGTGTTAAATTTAGAAATTGCTTTTCATTCATTGTCTGAGATGTTTGATCAATTTAAGCACCAAAGTTGAGTATTTATAGAGCCATGAACATTTTCATGCTTTGGTAAAGGTTTTGATATTTCTCTCCTTTTTTTTCTGCTTGGAAGCACTGATACAGTGATATTCCAAAAGTGCAGAGGAGAAGCTTTTCTAAATTAGTATTGTCAAGTTTTGGTTAGTCAGCAATACATCAGGTAGTTTTATTCTTATGTATATTTTTTTATACTTTATCATATATCTATTATTTTATGTTTTACTGAGTGGAGGAATTAAATGTTCCATTTCTACCAACAAGTATGTGTGTAAACGGCTGTGTGTCAGATTATCTTTATATGGGAGAGCAGTAAAACCAAACTTATGTCCTCCAGTAAAAGGAACCTGTCCAGCTCTCTGTGATGGATCTGTGGCTAAATGGATAGAATCTGTAGACAACCATGTTATATTAAAACAAATTTATTAAATAAAGCAATAAACTCTTCTTAAATTATTGTAAGTGAACTTGTAAAAGTAAATGTGTCTTTAGGCCCCATTCCATTAATTTTTTAGGGCAATAAGGCCTGTAGATATCATGCTCTATGCCAGCACACATCTGCATGATTAAGCAGTCAGACAGGCCAAACATTAATACAGGAAGATGTTTGACAACATTAATGAAATGTATAAAGTTGTAAAAATTCTTTTTGCAGTCGTCTCACCGCCCTATACCATCTACATGGGGAAAGATAAATATGAAAGTAAGTGCTAATTTACCCTCATGTACATTATTGTGTTAACATCCTACATCAGTTAGAACTAATCCCAGTCATAATGTTTCTTGACAGATGAGGATCTCATAAAATATGGCTGGCCTGAAGACATTTGGTAAGGATACCACAGTCTGGAAGCTTCCTTCTTAATTATAATAATTGTACCCATGAAGGTGCACTCGCACACAGGAAATTAGCATTTCACAAGCTATCCACAAGGTGGCCTCACAGTTTAAAATGGAATTTCTATCACTAAAGCATAAGCCAACATCTCACATTTAATCTTTTTTTATTTTTAGGTTTCATGTGGACAAACTTTCCTCTGCCCATGTATACCTTAGAATGCCCAAGGTAGATCACTTCTCATTAACTCTCTTTCGCATTGATTTTTTCCACTGCCGACGGAATAATTTTGATGAAATTTGTTCTCTTATATGCTTAAAGGGGAAGACGATAGAGGACATACCAAAAGAGGTTTTGATTGATTGTGCCCAGCTAGTCAAGAACAACAGCATTCAGGGTAAGGTTTGCTGAAGAGTGAACACTGAGCTGAGTTTGAAAGTGATGTCTTGCTTTAATGGATAATTGCATTGTCACAGGGTGCAAAATGAACAACATAAATGTTGTTTACACACCATGGGGCAACCTGAAGAAAACTGGAGACATGGATGTTGGCCAGATAGGCTTTCACCGTCAGAAAGAGGTACGTTTTGGGCTCCCAATTAGCACAACCGTCTAAATCACTTCTTCCTGGAGATCTACGTTACTGCAGGGTTTAGTTGCAACCTGCCTTTAACAGCCTGCCCCCCTTGCCTAACATTAGTGCATCTGATCCAGCCAGTCAAACACTTCTAAAGAAGTTATTTAATTATAGCAGGTGTGGCAGATTGGGGTTGTAAGCAGACTATACAGGAACGTAGGTCTCCAGGACCAGGTTTGGTGGCCAGTGGTCTAAATCAGCAGAGATTAGCATTTACTCTCATCTAACGCTCTGAATTCAGTTCATGAAGGCCTTGATAATAAGCTGATGAGCTGAATCAAGTGTGCTGAAAGAAGACAAAAGAAAATGGTTTGCTTAAAACTGAAATATATTGGGATTATGACTTGACATTTCAAGTTGGATGAGGTGGATCAGAAAAGTGAACTGTATGCCATTCATCATAAACAATAACCTGTTTAATAATCTTAAACAGGTGAAAACAGTGGCAGTAGAAAAGAAAGTCAATGAAATCATCAATCGATTGGAGAAAACAAAGGAGGAACGATATCCGGATCTTGCAGCTGAGAAAGAGTCACGAGACAGAGAGGAGAGGAATGAGAAAAAAGCTCAGATACAAGAAATGAAAAAGAGGGAAAAGGAAGAAATGAAGAGGAAAAAAGAGCTTGAAGAGTTAAGGTATAACATGAATGTGCAAAACTAATGAAACATGTAAAATACTAAATCAAATTGTGTGACACAATTTGTATAAGGATTCAGTGTTTTTCTGAATTTCTCATAATTTTCCTTTGTCATTTCATGCATCCTAATTAAGTGTGCTGCTAAAAGGATGTTTCTATTGTAGGAGTTACTCATCCCTCATGAAGAGTGACAACATGACCACAAATGAGGTAGTACTTTCTTTGCCTGCATACTTTGTTCCTTGCATTACAGCATTGCTGTTCTCAGCTAATATCATTACAGTCAGAGACCATCCTTTCTTTTAGATGATTACCAGTCAAAACAGCTCTTAAGTACAGTTCATTCATTTTTCAGCCTCAGGATAACAAACAGAAAACGTATATTACACAAAAGCTTTAGCAACTAAATAAAATATCAAAACCGCAACTGGAAGGTTCCGTCTTAAAAGTTGTAAGTAATTCCAGTTACCAAATTTGATATATCAATCCATAAAACCTTACTCCACATTGCAGATGTCCAATATCAGTGTTCTAGAGCAAAACGTCTTTGGTGTCTATCTCATTTTCTCAGTGAAGCTTCTTGACAGCTACACATCCTTTTCAGACCCATGGCGCCGAGTCGTCTTCTCTCAGTGCAGGGTCGGCAACCCAAATGTGAAGAAGACAAAAATCAGTCTGCTTTTGGAGTCATTTATTATGTCCATTTATTTAAGTAATGTTTAATCATCTTGGCTGTAAATATGTCTCAGTATGTGCTGATGTCCTAGTGTAGGCTAACAATATGAACTGAAACACAGACTAACCTTGCTCTGCTTTAAGCTTTAGCTCAGCTATAGCTGTTTTTCTTACATCACCGGCAGGAAACCTTTCCTCAAAAGTAGGTTAAAAATAGTTTCTTGAAAAGTGTCTCTTAATGTTCAACTTTTTACGAGGCTGAAGTCAGCTTCTTATTCGAAACTTTCCGTTCAACCTTAAATGATGCCTGAGGCATCAGAATGTACTACTGCATCATTCAAGGTGGAATGGGAAAATTTGAATGAGAAGCTGATTTCAGCTTTGTGACGTTTTAGTGTTTGACAGTTTCTCATTGCAGATTAAACGTATCTGGAAACCAGCTGGAGTGATTATAAATGCAAACAAATCCGCCTCCAAATTATCGATGTTTGTCTTAAATTTTTCTCTTTGTCTTTTCTTTAACTATTAGCTGGCTTTTACAATATATATAACTGGCTTTTACTATCTATCTATATATATATATATATATATATATATATATATATAGTATATATAGTATATATATATATATATATATATAATGTGTATGTATGTGTGTGTGTGTGTGTGTGTGTGTTTCAGATTATAAAATGTTTTTTTCTTTTCATTTGTGTGCTTTTCTGATCTTGTTACAGGATGGCAACGATTCTGATGACTTCATGTAAATGGACAAAGAGAGCTGCCAAGGAGAACTGACCTGTTTGCCCACAGTTACTACACAGTGAATATGCTCAGAGAAATGCCATCATGTGCACTCCTGTTGGCTGTGATGGAGGAACTTGCTGTACATTTCAAAAAGAATACGTGCCAATAAAACACTGTGGCAGGACTATAATGGAGCAAATTTACCTAAAGATGCAAAATGACAAAAAGCTACATCATTTGACTTGTGTATTAAGGTTCATCTGCAAAAGATATGTGTGGCTGGGCTGTCCGTAAATCAAGATGTTTTTTTTGCTTATGTTTGTAGATTTTTGGACACTGCAGTTGCTGCTTTTGAATGTGACCTCTGCGTATGTTCAGGGGTTTTAGCTTTGGATGAGTTCAGCAGCATCTGTACTTGTTTTGTTTCGTTGCCCTGCATGTTATAGAGTTGCTCCCAACACACCTGACGCAACTAATGAACTAATTGAGAAGCCCTTAATGAGGTGGTCTGGGTGTTAGAGCAGTGAGAACACTACAGCATGCAGGGCGGCGGTACTCCAGGACCAGGACTGAGGATGTACCTTTTGGAGATACGGAGGCCAGATGTCAGCCCAAGCTCTTCTACTCGAATATATATAACAGCAGATATGCAAATCCCAGTTTATTGTTCGTTTCCTTTTTGTTTCAAAGAGGGATGCAAAACAATAAATCTTGAAGTACCCACCCTTGTTAATCCCCACCTTTTTCAGCCATTTATTGGTTAAACCTTTATTAGTTGTATTAAAAATAATTATTTGGTTCCAGTCTCCCTATCATGGGTGAGTGAAGGTTACTTCTGGATCTTTGCCTTAAAATACTTTTACTTCTCCAGTATATTAATGTGAAGTCTGCAACTAATTTCTTTTGATTAATGTGTTGGTGACAGCATCTGTGCTTCTTTGTGATTGGTCACACATCTTGCATTTAGACCAATCATCCTAACAGCAGCCTTCAAAGTGGACCACAGGTTATTTAGGCAGGTTATTTAGACATTTTGAGGGATATTCCCAAAACATCAGGACTGAAGGTTTAATTCTAAGAGAAGTGCAAACTGTGTAGCGAGTAGAAATGATAGTTTATCAATATGCAGGAAGTCGTCAGGGAATTTTACCCCTTGTCAGCGGCATAATTTGTTTTTGCTTTTAATGTTTTTAAAAAAGCCACTCGTCATCCCAATGTTTAACACAAAAACAAAGTTAATGCTTCATTTTTTGCACAATTACGGTTTATTTAACAAATTGGAGTGAAAGAATAAACAAAATGTGGCATGTGCAAAAATTATGGGACATTTTATATTTTACATCATCAAATAAATAGAAATTGTGCGTTAAATTTTGTGGAAAGATGCCACATTTAAATGTTTCCTGTAGAAGACGTGTTAAACTTTTTTCACTCTGAGAATATACAACACATAATTTACTTCAATTTATTGTGCTGTTTAAACTGTAGCTACAGTCATTGCATTTCTCTTTGATAATGGTGCTGCAGGGCTCTGAATGAAGGGGCTAAATCAACTAAAGTTCCCTAAGAACATTGCTGCACAATTCACACACTGACAAGGTCATTCAGCGGTATGATGTGGAATGTTTAATTGTAGGCAACTCAGATTTCTTTACAGTGGTGGTGATGGGAACCAGGGGTTTAGATATAGCCATTGTATTACTATCCAAAACCACCAGTGAACCCTCACGTGTCTTCTGGGTTTTAATATGTAATGCTGATGATGGTAAAACAGTGGTAAACCTGAGTAAATATGTTTTTTGGGACTATTTTGCCACAGTGTCCTGCATGTACCTCTCCAAAATGAAAGGATTTTACTAAATATCCATACCAAAACCTTACCTCAAAAGTACATGTATACAAAAAGTATAAAGTATATAAAATATACTGTGTCTATTTTACACTTCAGACACTTGGTTCCTATCACCACCACTGTGACTAGTTTACATCTTAACCATTTAATTATGCAGTGAAAAATGAGTGGAATTTCCCTTTAACTTACAACTTGGCATCAGTCTGTATGAATATATGGTTACTACGTGAATGCGAGTGCATCAAGCATTTAAAAAAAAAAAGAAAAACAACAGAAATGAATTAGATAATCTTATAAGCTTACAGCAATCAAAAATGATAAATATTAGATATAGCCACTAGATTTAAGATAACTGCTCAGATGTGGGTGTGGACTACTCTACCCACCTGTTAGATCTTTAGCTTCATTTTCAGTGCTGAAAGTGAAAGTGAGCTTGTGCAGTCTGCTATCCTGCAGGTCCAGTTCCTGTTTTCCTCCGAGTGAAAGAGCACAAATGAGAACATTAGCTGTGCATCGTAACGAGGATTAAGGGCCAGAGAAGTGGACCGTCGATCTCTTCCGTCTCAGTGATACTCGGGCAGCATGAGTTTGTCGCGTTTCGCTAATGACCTCGTCAGGCCGCTTTTCTGTATGTCCAGCGTCAGATTGCTGTTTGAACATGACCATCGTGTTAGCAACTTTCAAGGCATGATCATTCGCGGTTTAAGAGCTCAGGCGCCTATAGAGGTGGTAGAAGGTGATGGTCAGTATGATGTCAAAGTGCTTTTCTGTCCCATCGTCTCCCGCGCTGGGACTGATATCCAGGCTGTTCTCTCCCGGGTTAGAGGTAAGACAATGCAGCAGCACTGCTGAACTGTGTGTGTGTGTGTGTGTGTGTGTGTGTGTGTATGTATACAGGCTGGTTGGGCCTGTAAATCTGCTTTCCTCCCAGTTTGCCCTACCGAGCATGTGCACATCATTAGTAAAGTGTAGTTATTTACACTCTTAAAATGATGGTTCTTCAGAAAAAGGGAATAGTTCTATTTAGAACCATTAGTTTTATATACAGAACCATTCCATGCTGAAATAGTTCTTTGCATGGTGAAATGGTAAATATTGATGGCGAATGGTTCTGTATAGCACCAAAATGTGTTCTGCTAGTGTTACGATATTTTCAAATAGGTTCTTTATAGCACCCTTGAAGAACCATCTTTTTAAAAGAGTGTAGTAAGTCTTTCAAATGTTTTCTTACCATGTGGCCATGAGGGACAGGGATGCAGTCTCACTTCCTGCTCTAAAATGCCGGGATGTGGCTAAAGTAAGACTCCGCATACAGACTAAAACTCTTCGTTTTTCGGTAGTGACATGAAACTATGGGACTGCAATTTTTGAATAATGTTTTCATAATTTAAAAAATAAATTAAGTCTAAATCTAAAGCTTTCAAAAAGATCCCTTCAAAAACAACACTGAAAAAGGCAGAAAAAACATTTTTACAGGTCAAAATTTAGAGGTTAGGGTTTGGGACAGACACCTCTCAACAGAAAGTACCCTATAAGTGATAGTTTATATATAGTTTATCACTGTCTCAGTTAAAACCTTGAGTTCAAATACATCATATCATAATCCTTGTGAATATCTAAGTCTGAAAACTTCTACTGTGGGACTGCAGTTTGAACTAATTTAGTACGACTAAACACTTGCACACTATCACTGATTACAAAGGAGGTACGATCTGTGATAGGGGCTCGTCCTCACTTGCATATGAGCTTAATGCACACTATGTTCGTTTTGAGGCAGCTAACACCTCCACTGCTGAAAAACCCCAGTAGATGAGACAACGCTGTTGCACTAACAATACACACTGCTCTCACACACCTGGACGGAAAGAACACATCTGTAAGAATTCTGTTCATAGATTACAGCTCAGCATTCAACACAATCATCTCTGCCAAACTCATCCCTAAGCTCACAGACTTGGGTTTGAAGTCTCATCTCTGCAACTGGATACTGGACTTCCTGACGAGCAGACCCCAGGTGGTGAAAGTTGGGAACAGCTTCTCTTCCACACTGACTCTGAGCACAGGGGCTCCCCAGGGATGTGTACTCAGCCCCCTCTTGTACTCCCTCCTCATCTTCAAGTTTGCTGATGACGCTACCATCCTAGGCCTCAGCACTGATGGAGACGAAACAGCCTACAGAGACGAGGTTAGCGCTCTGTCAGAGTGGTGCCATGACAGCAATTTCTGCCTCAACATCAGCAAAACAAAGGAGATGATCGTGGACTACAGGAAGCTGCAAAGGGGTGATCACTCTCCACTACACATCAGTGGAGCTGAAGTGGAGAGAGTCAGCAGTGTGAAGTTTCTCGGCGTGCACCTCACTGATGACCTCACCTGGTCCCTCCACACCAACACAATTGTGAGATCTGCCCGTCAGCGCCTCTTCTTCCTGCGTAGGCTTAGGACGTTTGGTCTGCTTCCTCAGATCCTCACCAACTTCTACAGATGCACCATAGAGAGCATAGAGAGCCTTCCCCCATTACCATTTCACTCGGGCACTTTGTTAGTATTATTTATTATATCTGCTACAGACAATAACACTAAGTCACTTTAAAATGTGTATATATTTTCCTCAGATTATCCCTTGTTTGATATATTTGTATGTAGCAGAGTAGAATTCTTCTACATAGGTCCCTCCTGTCTCTATATTTTGCATATATTCTGTGTATATTTAATATATTTCAGTTTTAGTATTTTATTTTGTATTTTTACTTTGTTTTGTCTGTACTGTTTTTAGTATGTATATAATGCTGTGATTAGCTGAGCCTCACCAAAGGCATTTCAATGCATGAAAGTCTTGACATGTGCAAATGACAAATAAACTTGAAACTTGAAACTTGAAGACCTGTCAAGTTTACTAAGTACTAAGACTTGTTGTCCAAACATTTACACATGCCACAATAATTAATTTTTGTGGTAATCAGATATAAAGTAACATTTGCAAAATGTTTTAGGAACCTGGGAAAATTATATTTAGAAAGATATTTATCTGGGCAGTAAGAGTTTATTTATGCACATAATATTAATACTAAGAAGTAATTTTGTAGATGTCAGTTAGGGGTGGGGGAGAAAATCAGTTCTTAGATGCATGGCGATGTGGACGTGGACGATTCTGAATCGATTCACAAATGTCAAAAATCGATTTTCTAAATATGTAATTTATAACAATGTTGACGGAACGCAAAAGGCGGAACTTGGAAGTGGGTAAGTGCAGTGCCTGGACAGTCTGTGGCGGCACATAACAAAAACACAACTGGATGAGTGAGAAATCCGACCGGCTCCCTCTGCATTAAAAGCTAGGTCAGGTTAGGAGTCACAACACAAATGTTAAGAAGAGCCATTTTGTCCTTTCAACAAAAATCAAACCACCTTGGGAGCCACAACATTTAATGTCCAGTATGTCTCAGTATGTGTTAATGTCCTAGTAAAGGCTAAAAAATATAAACGAAAATGCAGATTTACTTTGCTCTGCTTTAAGGTTCAGCTATAGCCGCTTTCCTCCCATCTCCACCAGAAAACTTTTCCTCAAAAGTTGAACAATTTCTTGTAAAATGTTTCTCAATGTTCGACTGTTTTACGAGGCTGAATTCACTTCTTATTCTCCAGCTTCTTGTTCGAATTTTCCCGTCCCACCTTAAATTCTGACTGAAAATTCGAAAGAGAAGCAACTTCATCTTCGCAACTTTTTAGTGTGTGACAGTCTCTCATTGCAGGTTTAACGTTCCAGGAAGCCAACTGCGCTGCTTATAAATGTGAATAAGTCCATTCGTCTCCAAATGTTCATCTTAAATCACTTTGCCTTCTCGTTAGCTACTAGCTAGGTGAGACTGAGTTACTATGTGACCTGCAGTCTGCACGCCAGTCCTCAGTCGTTGAGAACCAGGGCTTTCGCGCTATGTTGCACACATTGGAGCCGAGATACAGCGTCCTGTCTCGAAGATATTTTACTGACACAGCGACCCCCCCACTTTCTACAACGAGACCAAAACCGAAGTTACAAAATCAAAAAAATCCCTAAAGAAAACTTCCATTTGTTTTATTAAGAAAAGATATTGGAAGTAAATTCATTATGGATCATTACAAATACTTTGCTTTAAAAGTACCAAGTCCTCACACAGTGAGAAAATAGAAATCCTGTATAGAAAATAAAAGATGCATTAAGATGCAGCGATTTTATAATCGCATCGCAGCCCTCTGAATCGTAATCATATCGAATCGAAACGTGAGGTGCCTAGAGATTCCCACCCCTAATGTCAGTGTTTTCATTTAACCATTTAAACTCTTTGTGGAAGCCCATTATTGTTTGTATTTATCACCCAACACCTGATTTCACTAATCAGTGCTTCGTTAAGTGAAATGAGGTGTGCTGGTGATGGAATTTAATAAATCTATGCGATAGCTGGAGTGCAGCAAGAAGTCAGGGACTAAACCTGTGTCCTTCTAACAGTATTCTTTTAACCAACTTTTAAATTGCAGTGTATTTATATATCTTGTTTAATGTATTTCATTGTATTCGTGTTCATATTATATTGTATTTATTCTAAAGTTATATAATGTTCTACTGTCATAACCGATGAGATTTGTGTCTTTAATCTCTTATTTTGGATCTGTACAGATGGTGAAGTCACCATTGTGATAGTGCTGCACCACACCTTTGACTCAAGGGCCATAATACCAAGCAGCAGCGTACATGATCGTGAAGGGGTTATTCTTGTGGACTTCCTCTTCTCTGAGGACCAGGGACTGCTGGAATGTCCGAAGAATAGTGAAGCATTTGACAGGACAGCACGTTATTTAAGACAACTAGCCCCTCGGTCTCCTGTAAGCCAGAATGTACATATAAAATATTTGCAAAGTTACTTATGAATTAATGTTGTTTGACTGTTTAAACATAACAAATTATTGTCTCCTGTATTGCAGGCAATGGGAAGAAAGAAAATAATCCTGCTTTGCACTGTGGGGTCCTTGTTCCTTTGGTTGATGCGGCAGGACTATCATCAGGGTTCTTGTCACACTGTTGTTGGAGTGATTAGTGGATTTATTGGCGGGTTTTTTGGTGGATTTAATAGCGGGGTAAATGGCAGACTATATGCTGCGCTTATTGGTGGGTTAACTGGAGGGTGTAGTGGTGGGGTTATTGGCAGACTTATTGTCTAGCGTAATGCTAGGATTATTGATGGGCAGTCTTCATGACCAGCTTTTAAAACTTAATCTCACTGAAGCTGCAAATGAGGAATTCACACTGTGTCAAATGAGAATATGAAACATTCTAATACAAATAGATATTCTGAAGGAAGCTGATCTTTGAAAAGCAAAGGCTGACATTGTTTAGTCCAGTAAACATTCAACCCCTTACATAGCTGTCCTAAATGAGAACTAATCTTATGGCATTATAACATTTAAAGTGGTTTTACTCACACTTATGTAATAGTTAGTTCTTTCAAGCTCTTTGTCTGCTGTCTACGGGGGCCAAAAAGAGACCCAACAAACTGCAAATAAAAACAAGCTGCAAAACCCACAAAGCATTTTCATCAAAATCACAACATGGATGCTGCATTTTACAAACGCGCTGCAAATTCGTAGACACTATGAAAACTCAGAAAGCACTTTCATCAAAATGACGACAGCGACGCTACATTTCATAAACATGCTGCAAATACAGAAACACATGCAACTTCAGAAATGCAGCAAAGCCAGTCATAACCCAATGGAAGTGAGCCACAACACAATGGAAATGTCACTGGAAGACTCAAAGGGGTCAAAGGGGATGGAATATCCATGAAAATCACTAGCTGCGTCCCAATTCAGCGGCTCTGTCCTTCTGAGGCTGCATTTGACGGCTGATTGCGTCACAGCGGTGCGACTAGGCCATCCCATTTCGAAGATAAAAGTTTCTGACTCCGTCTTTAAAGAACTTTAAAATAACTTGACAAGAGTGGCTTTCGTGACGTACCTGTAAGGGCAGGAATAGTGGTGCTGTGATGCAAACAGGAAATCCACCATAGAGAAGACCATCTCATTTCAGTTCAGCCTTCACAGGTCTGTCTACGCAGGACACCCCTTTGTAGACCACGTCCTTCAAAGGATGCAGCCCCTGAATTGGGACACAGTGACTGACAGAAGTACGTAAGACCACAAACACTCACATCCCCAGTTCATGGTTAACTTGGCTGTCTAGTTTGCTATCCGACATGTCATAACTATTCTATGGTAGCTAATCTGGTATTTCTAGTTAGACATTTACAGTTACACTCTACAGCTAATTCCCATTATGATACTGTGATATCAGTAATCTACTAAGTCAACTTTTACCGGTGAAAGTTTGTGCTGCACAGTATTTAAACGTTTGAATGGCTCCATCCTCTCTGAGTGTCCTTCAGAAACTCTGTTGTGTTGTGACTGGGTTATCAGCATTTCTGAAGTTGCATGTGTTTCTGTATTTGCAGTACGTTTATGAAATGTAGCGTCTGTGTCATCATTTTGATGAAAGTGCTTTCTGAGTTTTGCAGCTCATTTTAATTTGCGGTTTGTTGGGTCTTCTCGGCCACCGTAGCTGTCACCTTAATAAACATGTAACCACAGGAAGGACAAAAACTATTTGATGGTGAATACGTTTTCATGATCAACATGATGCTTTTCAGGCAAGGCAGGCATACAGACAGAATACCAACAGGAAACACAGTGCTTTTACTACAACAAAGTAACAAAAACCAAAGGCTTCAGTGAATAAAAAAACTGGTTGTAGAGATCAGAACTTGTAAGTAATGCTTACAATGATATTGAAACATCTTGTGTCACTCTAAACGACTTAAAATGTGTGTTTTATTTGGTTTTGACTTATAACATGCTTATAAACCTGCTCAGGTTTACTTTTGTACAGTATTTTTAGCCACAAGATGGGGGGGATTTTCAATGCGTAGAATTCCCTCCATACCACTAGGTGTCAGCAATTTGTTGTGTAAGTCAGAGAAACCTCAGCAGAGCAGCTTCTGGACCTCAGTGAATTCTATCTAATTAATGAAAACAAAACCTGTTAGCTACCTGTATTGTCTAGTCGTACTTGAGTTTTTTTGTGGGGTAGTGTGTAGCAGCCTAACAATTCACAGAAAACATATGATACATTCAATATGATGCACTAGTGTCTTAATCCAGTTTTCAATAAAGCAGAAATAAAGAGTGGCTAAAAATGTGCCTCATGTCTGTAGCTTAGTGTTTCTATTCTCCGTGGATCAGAGCATTCAACTCTTTAAACGTATTTAGTATTTAAAGTATTTAAACAAAAGGTGTGCTATACAGTGTCCTGATCTAATGCTCCTCCAAGCAAAAACACTAGCCACAAAACAACATGCTGGTCAAGATGGACTAGGTTTAATCCAGAAGCAAAACACTCCAGCACAGATGAGCACTTTCCTCCAATGGAGCCCAACTCTTCATTGAGTTCGCACTACTTGTACCTCAAAATTCACTTAAATTCATATTAATGCGAAAAGCGATGTCACAAAGTAGCTTTACAGAAACTTGAGTCTGAGCTCCAAGTGGGCAAGCCAACAGCAACAGTGGCTAGAAAAACTCTGTAAGAGCAAGAGGAAGAAAACTTGAGGGGAACCAAGACTCAAACCCCCATCCTCCTCTGGTCGACGCTGGACAGCAAAACAATAACACAACAAAAGCAATATGAAAAAAAAGAATGAAGAATTGACAATAAATATGCAATAGTGTATGTGCAATAAAGAAAAGAAACAAGCCTCACATTGGACAGAAGTATTTCGATCAACCAATGATAACTGATGACAGAAGTATTTAAATTAGCCAATAATAACTGAGGCCTATCAGAGTAACAGTGCGAAACCTGTGTCTGCTGTTAGAAGAGTGAAAATGAGAATTAAATCCATGATAAACAGTAATGACTGTTAAAAGCCTATCATGATGACACATACAAATATGTAGAGAATCCAGGTGAACTCTGTCAAGGATGTAATAGTCCCCACAGGCACCAATGTCACCGGGGGGAGTGTGGCATGCAGGTGAGGCTTTCTGGACTGCAGGAGAGTAAGTAGCAGTTCCATGGTGGTCAAACAAATTAAGTTTGGAAATAATTTAAGAGGATGACCACACTGTGACTGGAGCCCCTCCTCCTTCCTTCTTGTGTCCTATGATTTCCATCTCTACCGTTTGTTTCCTGTGACAAAGTTTTCGCACTCCACCACCACCCTGTTCCTCAGTCCTATTTTTCAGTTCAACCTCTCTTCATCAAGGGGGTCCAGCCTCCTACCTAAACGCGGAAGCTGCCCAAAACTCCAGAACTCCAGAGTTCTATCACCTTCTACAGTTCCACTCTTCTCATAACACAACTATGTGAAGGTGTAGTCTGAACTTGCAGATCTTCAATTAAGAAAGAAAGTGTTATACATTTCACACTTACATGACAACTACCGTACATTCAGCAATATAACATATGAGTACTGTATCTAAGGCTGTAAAATTTACATCAGTGGGCATAATTCTTAAGAACAGGCCACACTGTTGCCAGAACAAGGAGCTTGAGTTCTGAGGCACGTGTGGTGCAGACACAAAGAAAAGGAGTCACTTTAAGGAGGAGATGTCTTTGGTTTGGCAGGGTTCAAGACCAGGCTGGAAACTATGACCTTAGTCTGCCACCTCAGATGTTCTTGACTGGGTGGATTGCTGCAGTTTGTGTTTATAGGAAAAATTCAGTCATTGCTAAGCCCATAACATGACCTAGCTATGGCTTGCTTTTAATTAGGAGTTTATACCGAGCACAGATCAGTTCACTGAATAACAAGCACCATGGCAAAAAGTGCCTGAACAATGGAGCAAGTGGAACACCACTCCTACTCTTCATATTCATATATATATATATATATATATATATATATATATATATATATATATATATATATATATATATATACATATATGAGAGTCGGGTGCCAGTTTAAATTTGTTCACAGTGGTGGTGATAGGAACCAGGTGTCCAAAGCATCTATGCCTGGGTGAAGAACTACCTGCAGGTAATTGTAAGGCAAAATAGTCCCCAAAGAAAACTTTTTTTTTATTGTTATTCAGATTTACCACTATTTTACATATAACTCAGAAGACCATCTGTATTGTAGACATCACAATCCCTGGTTCCTATCGCCACCACTGTAATGAAATCAGAATCAATAAGTTTCTTTAGAATGCACACATTCTTTAGAATTTCACATCAAACCTCCCTGGATAACTTTATTTATTATATTTCAGTTACTGAATATTCCAGAAATTCCCCTTTAAAATGTAAAAAGACATTCAAAATTTTCTGAATGCCTTTTGCACTTTGTGTCCTTGAAGTAACTGGCTTCTGATCTGTGTCAAACTATAGCACATGAGGAACTGTAATGGCTGGTAGGGCTTCCACATGCTGGCCCCACACCATACCTTACTGGCCCATTAACCTCTTGTTTAGAAAAAGACAAGCAGGGTCTTCCTAGTTGTGGTTGCACACCCCACCCCCTGTCAGCTATGCTTTACCTCGGCGCTGACTATAACGTTTGGCTTGAGCCAAAACACTCTGCTGGGACCACACACGCACACACACATACACAGGAACTAAATGAGTAGGAAAACTAGGCTAGGCGGGTGGTGAGGAGCATGGACTGCCACACAAACAAAAGGGATGTGCCTCTCAACTGCGGGCCCTCTCGGTGTGGGCCAGCTGGAGCCTCCAACAAAAGCAAATACAGCCATAAAATATAGACCGAGGAGAACAGCCCTGGAGATGGGCTACCATGATGTAAGTAAATATGGAGCGCATGTGGGGCCGACTGAATAGTTCCTGCACTGTAGGAGGCAGACAGAGAGCGCCCCAAACAACAGGACTGCTGGACACTGTGTGGAACAGCATCAACAACGGCAGCCAAACAGTCATTAATCTGAAGTGATGCAATGTAGATACCGCTCCTCATTGGTGCAAAGAAAAATGCTATGTAATATAAATTGTTATTATGTCCGTGCTTGGGTTATACTGTTAATTATTTAGGTGTTTCTTAGCTGAGACATGACAAATCTTATGTTAATGCCCATTGCAAAAATATTTTTTTTGCATAAATTCTAATAGAGACATTTTCCCCTTGATCCAAATGTAGTAAATCAGCCTTTAGTCGTGCACTGAAACTATGAGGCTAATGCAGCTAACAAGAAATAGTAGCTTAGGCCTATACCCCACTAATTTGCCTTATAAGAACCGCATGCCTAAAGGGGACAATAGAGAAACCCTCTTCTGTTCATGTCTCTTGAAGATGAGAGGAACTTTTGTAAAACTGCTTCAGGATGGGTTTTTGGTGGCAGGCTGTTTTGAAATGTTCTTTTTTTTGTTAGCTAACAAATTCAGACAGCATTACTGCTAAGATGCTGAATATGCCATTGTAGTCATATATCTGTCTTCAAATTGTCAGTATAATGGAGAGAATGATTAGTCAAACAACAGATTATTTATAAGGAGAGGAAAAAAAGCTAAAGTTACCAAGGCAGCTGACTATCTAGATAATCACCTTAGTTAAGCTCATTTTCTCAGGCCTGAAAGAGTAAAAACTTCTCTCTGGTGTCC